ATTTTAATCACAATAGGGCTAGGATCATATTTGAGAATATTTTAATTTCATCTGAATTATTTCTAGTTACATTAGTCACTTCATTATTCGATTTGTAAGTAGTGACTTACTTTATATTACTTGTAAAGTCTGATTTGATCTACTTCAGGATTTATCCTTACTCCTCGACTACTTTGCAGAAGCTTTAGCTATATATAATCTGTGTGTAGTTCCCTTCGATGTTCTATCTTCTGACCTTGCAATTTTATCCTGCTTCATCTGTTATAATGTAGCATTTCTTATCAGAAGTTTATCATTTGATTTTATTATCATTATTACTATTATGATTGTCTTATCATCTTTGACTGTATGTATAATCTACACTACAACATACTTTTACTGCACACGCTATATGGAAACCAGTTTCGGGACATCGGTCCCATACTTAGGTTTTTTGATTTTATTCGGATTTCATAGTTGTGTGGTTCAAACAACCTTGGTACGGTCAGCATTTTGTCTAGCACTTCTCATGTTGGTATTTATTTTACTATGTGTTAGTTCCCGTTGCGAAGGTTTGACTTGATAATTTCAAATAAGTTGGGAGTTGAGCTGATCATTTATGCTAACAAAATAATGGAATGTCATGAATCCTGAAACTACACAGAATTAAATCGTTCTATATAACAACTAGCACTCTTCGAATAAAAGGAAAAATCTCTCTTACTTCTGCATAAAGCTGTATTTAAAAACTGTGTTTAAGTGTTTTCTAGGTCAAAGAGTCTTCCCGTGAAATCTCGACCAATTCTAAAGAGTATCTAAACTACACAAAAAAACCTTATATTTCTGTAGAGCTGGGAAATTTACTGACCAAATCAGCATTAGTATTAGATGCTTATTTTGAAGCCATCAAGTCGATATAAAAAATATCAAAATCCAAAAAATTCCTTCTAAATATAGAGAAAGACTGGCTGTTAAAGCTTTGTTAAATTCCACAACTAACAATAGGAGGGAAGACCTAACTATTCAGCGAACTTCGACCGTTCATTCAAACAATCGCATTTAAATCTCATTTTTTATATAATAAACACATGATAATTCTACTCTGTTCTTTCAGATTTAAAAAGTATTGCATTTTTCACACCCACTCGCATACACACAATGATATCTAATACAAAATCACCTTGACCGAAATCTCGTTACACTGGTACGATCAGATTCAGTTTGATCGTACCAAATATTCTGTCTTATCCCTCTGCACTGTTTGAATTTGCATGAGCTTGGTTCGGCTATTTAATTATTTTTGGAAGGAGATATGAAACGTCAGGAACTCAATTTCTTAATTACTAAGGTACCACAAATATGTGGATTAGTTTTGCTTACATTTAAAGTGAGCTTTAAAAACTTATTTATTGGTTTAGTCGTTTGACTCTGGAATAATGAGTTACGTGTACAAAGTCTCTCGATCTCAACTTGGAAACGTCTCTTAATGTACTCAATCGTAACTGCTTGCCAAAAGCTTTATGGATTTATGCCTATTCTTAATCCGTCACTTATTGACGTAGCATATTAAGGTAGATGTAAGCTTTTGTGTGACTCGTGCAACCGTTATCTAAAAAAATGCATTTCATATATATATATATATATATATATATATATATATATATATATATATATATATATATTCTGCTTCATATTGTTGTCAAATATAATATATTGATTTTTGGTTCCATCGATTACTACTGTATTACTTTTAAAATTACACTAAATACTTGAGCTCATTAGTAGCCGGTTACTGTAGTTATTTACCGCAATTTTTAGTGTTAAATAAAGCATGCTAATAAGTCAACTTCATAAGCACCACAAAACTATCTCATTTTTACATGTATTGAAATTCATGTATTTATTATTTGTAGTGTTGTCAAATAAGATCGCTTTCCAATTTGTATTCTTTAATAAAATGTGTAGAGGCTACGCCATATCTGTCTCTTACATCACTACGTTAAAGTGGTTACATCAGCAAGAATAGTAAAGTTTTGTTCGATATTGCATAGAAAAATAATACCATGCATAATTATTTTATGATGGCACTTTGCGTTTATCCAAACGATCAGGTATTATTTCATACTTTCTATAAAAATGCGTGGTTGATTATTTAACATGTCTGCTTATATTAACTCTTTAATGTTTGTATAAAATCTTCAGTATTGTGATGTGACTCACTCCCCACTTCTGTTTTTTCTTTACAACTAGGAGTCTCTCGCGTACCACGGGGACAGCAATTAGTTCACACGGTGAAGTGTAACTGGTGTATATATTGTACAGTATTTGTGGTGTTTTGTTAGTTAAAACGTGTTAGTGTTGCTTCATGAATAAAATGGTTTAATTTCTCAGTTTAAGGACTTATCATTGATCAATTTTGTTTCGTTCAAGTTGTGATTAAAACTTGACAAACGATGGAGGACAAATCTATGTTGTCTATTTATTGTAATACAGTTCTATTTGTGGTGTCTTTTTGCCTACCTCGTTCTATATATTTATACTTAATTATTGAGGCTGACTTGTGAGTCTTATCGTTAGTGAACGTAATTCCATGCAGTTCGTTCATTCAATCCTGAAACCTGTTTATAACCCGTCACTAAATAGCATTTACTATGACTCAAACGTAAACGTTTTCCGAACAGGTATGTTCGCATAACAAAATCCGATTTACAGTCTCACATACTATTTCGGAGAATTGTGGATGTTCCTAAGGTTAGAGGGTAATCTATTAAGTGCGTTTGTTTCAGTTACGGCATAAACTTGACTATTAGCAGTTCGGGTGCACGATTTTGGTTTCATTGTATTTTGTGAGATAGACAATTCGTTTGTAGGTTTTTTGCTTTCTTGTTGCTTCATCCTACTTTATGCAGACCAGAAGACAAAATAGCATAATCGAGCAATTGTAACACCCACAAAACAAATGGCTGCCGCGCACGGGATATTAATTCAGATAAAGTGTATGTCATCTGGTAAAAGCAAGGAACTAAAGGAGGGGACCGTTCTAGGTCTTAGGTGACGTCGGGTTCATTAATGCGGGCGTCAGTTTATGTTGGAAATTATGCGCCTAACACGTCACTCGACCAATAATACTAATCCTCAGAGTGAACTGAGGTAGCGTGGTTTTCGGTGTCAAAGCTACATTGATGTCTGGTGGCTAAACTCGTCTTTAGTGCATATAGTTCAACAACATAGATGGTCTGCGTTGAGTAATCTTAGGTCTACTCGAGTTACACAGGAATGATGTGGGCAATCAGCCCAAGTAGGAGTGGTACCTCACGGTTAGTATATGATGTGGATAACCCATTCGTCGTATCCAAGTGCAATGGCTGCTTTGGTGACCGTATAACACAAATGACATTATCACGTAAAGATATGTTGACGGCAAGGAAACTTTGAGTTAATTAGCAGTCATAGCAACAAGCGGACTATTGTTTTTATTTGTTTCTAGTGGTCTGACATGAAGATCGATAAAATTGCTTCAGGTGTCATATAATAAAAACCAAGTAAACGAAATAAAAACTTAAGGTTTAGGGTATTTGTCTGCTTCTTGAAGTACTTCATCTGAAATGACAAGCAATGACATTACGAGGGTTCCAAAGATGCATTAAAAAAAATTAGAGCATAGGGAGTTTTGGCTAAGATACATAAAATACTGATGATCAAATGAGGAATAAATAAACTCAAACATTGATATCTGCCTCTGATAGTTAGCCAAACTAGTTGTATATGCATATTCAAGAAAAGGTTTGTAGTGTGGCGTCGAACCACGGTTGACTATGAACGCTTCTACCAAGAAGGGCGTGCCAAATAAATCCATAAAATCCCCCGGAAGCCAAATATCAGAAGGCAGTTAACGGACCAAGTCGAGATATATTTGTTGGCGATCTCGTGGTATCGAAATACTGAGATCGTGTCAGGATAAAAGCTTGGTTACAGAGCGCAACCGAATTCGCGCGAGTTCACAATCAAAGTGTGTATAATGGATGTTTTTAGCACATTTAAGCAAAGAGCACATTAAACAGTCACTGGTACAATTGTTTATAATAATAATTGTTTTCAATAAACCAATCGTGTTCTCGTGATAAAAGTGAGTCACTACAGGTTTTCGAAAGCATGAAACGGTGTTAAGACTATATGTTAATGGGATTGATAAAGCCTACGTTCAATAAGAATAAAACGTAACAATTTTTCCATGATTTTGGAACACAACCTTACGACAAGCTTAGTTCATTTTCCCGAACCTCGAGACTTTCATACTGACAGTCACTTCACTAACAAAGACAATATTTATGTCGAATAGATTTTAAAAACTTTAATCAAGTTAATAAGTTGGACATTAAAGTGACAGCATTATAAAATATATTCGAAACTAAAACTAATCAGTGTCCGACAGCACGTTTGTTCAGAGTTAGTTTTTTAAGAGTGTGAAGTTTGCTTTAAGATCGAATTGAGTCAAAGCCTGGTCCAATGGTTGTGAATAAAATGGTTGGAATAATTATGGTGAATTAGTTTGAAACATAGTGAATCTTCATCGATTGGTGTCTTTGAGGCATATTTGGTGGATATCGAATCGCTATGTTTCTACACATGTAATGCTGTCTGGCATAGTGGAAGGTAGACAGAAAGCTATAGGTAACCAAAACAACAACAGCCATCATCCATGAAGCAAATGAGCTCACTTTCACATCTTATCCAGTTTTAAGATCATACTTTCATTTCGATTGTTTATTTCATCCAGCACGTTGAGATGTATTACCTAAGCGTATTCAGATATGTGTATATAGCTTTAGATGAGTAAGGTGAAGTTCGCGGCTTAAATTATTCCGTTTCATATATCACAGATACTAGGAACGTGTAAACCTGCGCGAAAATGCTAGATATCACATGTTATTGAACATTGGAAAGGAATGGTTGTCTTCATCCTGCCATCAATTTCTTAAAGCGCGCGTGTGAGGTTGAAGGTCAGCCGAAAACAGGTGTAGATGGAGAATGCGGTTCCTGAATTCGCTCGTCGTTTGTACAAAGAGTGGCGTGATTTTACAGCTGAACCAGTCGAAGGTATCCGGTTGATGCTCAATGAGCAAGATATGACGGAAGTTCAAGTCAGTTGTATTTCTGTCTTCTAATTTGTCAGGTCGTACTTGACGGTCCTGTTGGTACCCCTTATGATGGTGGCAAATTCCGTCTGAAGATGTTGATCCCTATGCAGTATCCGATGGAACCGCCGAAGGCTTACTTTTGCACGAAGATATTCCACCCAAACATAGCACCAAACACCGGAGAGGTTTGCGTAAACACACTGAAGAAGGATTGGAAATCCAATTTAGGACTACGACATATACTTCTAGTGAGTTAATGAGTTGGAACTTACTCTTTAGACTATAAGGTGTTTGTTGATAGAACCCAATCCAGAGTCAGCTCTTAATGAGGAGGCTGGAAAATTGCTATTAGAAGATTACAGTGAATTTGTGGCAGAAGCTCGGCTCCTCACAGAAGTACATGCTTACTGGCACGTTCGGGAACAAGCGAAAGTCAGTAGTCAGAAGTTGCATCAAGACGACCATGCAAGTGTCGATATGTAAGTTGACTCAGCACGTGCATAAACTTGATGTTAATACGTAATCTAAGCTTACAATTCAATATTTACAAGGCCGCAGAAAATCTGCAGTCAGAAGACATAATCAGTATTTTTTTAGTCTCGCTTATTGTATTCTCCCGAGTTGTTCAAGGTTCACCACCTAATTTTATCTTCTATTTTTAGTTGTGTTCCTCTCGATTTTCGTGACAGTTTTGTACAAACCATGTTACAAATTTCGTTTATCTCCTTTCAGTATTTTATTTTATAACTAAAGGCTGTCATATCGAACGAAAACGAAGGGTATTGTCTGTATAGAATTCCGATGGTAGATGCGTTAGATATTTATTTGAATCTCTTCTGAAACTTTATTTCTTGTTGTAGATTTAGACGTAGGGTTGATGACAGTTAGGTACCACTGACACTTATCAGGTCAAAGACCAGAAAAGTCAGACAAGACTACTTTCATTATTTTGGTCGCGATATGTATTAGTAATCATATAAATGAAATTCCATGGGCTGCGCTTTATAGCGTGTCGTGTTTAGGTTTTCTGTGAGCTTTCACAAATGCTTTCTTCCATGTAATCTGGTCATGGTACATTTGTCCCGTTTGTATGCTTTATCCTCTTCTAATTATTTGTTAGTTCTAGTTACGGTTATGTGAGTTAGTTTTCAGGGTTATTTTTTCAGTCGTTGATACTATTGTTGGAAGTTTGCGAACTAATTCCAACTCAGACTTCTTGCACAGTAAATAAATGTACCTGATGTAAAACGTGTTAATATAAATAATATTGAGTAACGTAATCAGAGTATTAGCTTTGGGTTATGTCTTTTCCTAAATTTCTCATAAATTGAGAGATTTTTATCCAATTAAAATACATTAGCTCATAAAGACCTTCATCAGTAACGGTTTTTTTTAACGTTTGTAACCATGATCTAGTAACTATTTTCACAGAACAACATAAAATTACGTGATAAACTCCGCATTGTTCTCCAAGTCTCGGTATTTCGCTGTTATCTCATTTCAGGTCAGGCAATTCGACTGATGCGCGTACACATTCTAAAGTGACACAACGCAACAACTCATCATTTCGTAAAGCGCTCAAACGGTTGTAGTACCTAAGAGCGCAATGTTCCCTGAATGAAGACTTGTAATGAATTATCTATACCTTGTGCATTTATGTAAATTATATGATAATTGTACTTTAGCTTACTTTTAATTCCTACCATTGAATATTTTGGTCGATAACACAAAAACAGTAGCTGAGTTTATTACCACGTGAATCAACCTATTAGTGACAATATGATCTAATTACATCAAGCTACATTTCCCGAACCCTAATCAAAGAACTTAATTATTAGACGTGCATAACACCTATAAAATGCGGGATGATTAGTACGAGCAAACTCGTGTTTTAGAAACAGTTGACTTATTTCCTCACCAGTTGTAGAGAAAGAGGTCTGTTAACCCAGATGACCTACAACATTCATTGTAGTGAGGATGTTAAGATGTGTATCGGGCTTTGTGATGTTTAAAATCCAGAACTGTTCTGTTTTACGACTGAAATTAAACAGCTGAAGATAAAGAACATATAGTTATATGCATTTGACTATCAGTGTTGTTGACGGGACCATGAAGTACACAATGCTAACGAGAAACGTTGGGAATTATGGTGTTAATCTGCACTGACAAAGGTGATCAGGAGATATTTTGCATCTTGAGATGTATATCACAATTTATATGGAGCAGATCTACAACGGTAGAAACCTGAAAAGTCAGACTGACAATTTGGACAACTACGTATGACACCGACCTGCATAGAGTATTGCGTAATCTGTGGTCATCGTTACGAAACTCAATAGTTTGACAACCTAATATTGCATCGATTTACATGATGTGAGCGTAGACTATTATCGTAAATCCTAATCATCTTATGGTTGTGTTTAATTACCCTGTTAACGTTTTTCTCTATCTTATCAAGCTTTGTAACCTGAATCAGTGCATTATACTGCTATAGGTTTTAAAAAGATCTTTTTTTTGTCTATAAAAATAAGCTATGAAGTTCTAAATAACTTGGAAACTAATTAATTGGTCAATAAAGAGATAACAAAGTAATGCTTAGGTACGATGAGTTGGACGTCAACATATGTCAGTGGAAACGGAAAAACCGGTAGCCATTTGAGATTTTATTTTATTACAGTCCATGATTTTTTCAGCCGAACACCCTAATAATCAGTAAAATCCATACAGAAACAACAATATGATTATGCCATCCTGATATTCTTGAAAGAGCAGGTAGTTGATAGTTTAAAATTGATCTAGTTCTTTCAAAGTGAATTCTTTTCTAAACAGTATTTAGATTATTTAGTGTTTGTAAATATAATTCATTCGCCAAATATAAGGTTAAACTATTCGGATTCGGGCCACACCCGTTTGGTCAAACCAAAATAGGTGATATGGTGCGCGAATTTACAACTTACGCCTAACTAATAGTTTAATATTTCTGAAATACGCAAGCACTGTGTTCTATCGGTAACTAGCACAATTGACGTAAGAGAAAAACGGAAATTACTTTGAATAAGGTCTGATGCAAAGCCCAGGAATGAGGCCAAACTTTCAGCTAATTGAAGAATAGGTGACCTAACCAAACTATTTTTTTCCAAATCGCCTGACATTTCATCATGTTTACCTTGTGTTCATTTGCTGTATATGAACATGTTTCACTACATCTGCTTAGTGGTCTTGTTTCTGATTTCTAACTATTCATGGAATTAAGTCAATAATACAGTCTAGTGAGTGGCCATCACTTAACCACATCATATCGTTCTGTTCACCTATCGTTTAATATTTTACCTATTGATTTCAATCTGAAATCCTGCCTCACCAACTATAACAAGAACACTATAAAAATTGTCAAAATGACTAGTAAAACAAATGAATCAATTTAAAAAAAACACGAAAACTATGGACAGAAGATATTCGTTGAAATCATTCAAATCCTAACAATGTAGTAGAAAACAAGAGAAATTTACAGTGCTGAGTGTTATTTTGTATCACATTTTTGCAATTACTTTAGCAAGTATAAAGTGATGTTTATTGCAAACAAAAGTGCTTACTAGAAAGCAAATAAATTTAAGGAAAGTTACAATATATAGAATTGCAAAATTACTACTCGGTGCGTGTTTTTTTTTAGAAAAAAGGCAAAAGATTACACACTATACATGTGTTGTGACAATATGGACTTAAAAAACATTATAAGAGATCAAAAATATTTGATGAAAACTCTAAAGCTGATAATGATAATTGGATCGGAGACAAACAAGTAGATTTTGAGCAATGCGTTGTGTTTGTATTTAAAAAATGGTTGGACTTAACCTATTATTCATATAAAATATTAGAAACAGTATTTATTTCCATGTATGGACTTATGAAATAACTGGTGGTGGGGTTACTGGTCCGAATATTTCCTCTACATGTGTAAGCAAATATTCTATACATGGGACCTGTACAGACTTCAGTGCTCTATATGCGACAGACTCTACTTCTGGCCAAATTAAACTAGGTCCAAAAACAATAGCCAAATTGTAAGAATGCATTTGGTTGATACTGGACAGTTGCATTACTCTAATAAATGAAAAAGTACAATACAAAGAAATGAAGTTTATTGAAAACAGATTTTAAGAAAGTTATGTGCAAGCTTATTTAAACAACCCTAAACTTTTAATGTAAATAAAGGATTCTATGTTTATACGCGTTATTACCAAGAACTAAATAAATCAATGTTACCTTATTTCCTCTGTCAGTATATCGATAAGACACTATTCTAGTATGAGTAGTTAAAGAGCTTCGATTAAAATACAATGGAATAATCTCCAAGTCACCAATAATGTACTCAAACTTATCGATTTTCTCTTTGACTTCACTCATCTCTAAGAACACTTCAACTCTCACTTCATATGGATGAGATATAACTGGTCAGTCTAAAATAGTGTTCTTGATCTCCAAATACCACGTAACAACTTTTGAAGTTGATACTTTAACTTTCACCAGCTGGAATCTTTAAAATCCTTTCTAGAATGTGTATTGTTTTGAAAAATGCATAAAACGCTTATTCCTGTTGACTTAATTCACCTGAAGTTATATGTTTACAATTCAATTTGTGGATGTTTGAATCATTTGGAAATCTTGATATCCTTGATTTTAAGGAAATAACGTGACGACGACAAAGAAACTTTTGGAGTGAATTTCATTCGGTAGTGGCACAAGCAATTTTTGACTAAGTGGTTTCATGAGGATGAATTAAAACCTACATAGAGTTCTATGTCCAAGCAATGTACAAAAAGCTACTAATTGTAAATCGAACCTCTAGATGAATACTGTTATTTCATATGGTTCGAAATTATTCACGGATGTGGTAATGCATTCGTTTTTCCTTGCTTTAAAAACGCAACAGCAATACATAACATTACAAGTGGTCGGTCAGATGCGTATGGGATATCAATGGCGGCTTGCATAACTGGATGCTAACAACTATGACTGATGATGCGTGTCATGGGTCAGTATCCTATTGTTGCACTAGTTCTCTTAAGTTTGCAGATAGGCTCTTGCTGATATAGTAGCAACTACAAAAAGACCTTGGTCTATGTCGATTGTTTACAGTTCTGTTTTGAGAGACTGTTCCGAATTAGGAACGTTTGGAAGATGTCTCCTAATACGGTAGGGATCTGGGCGACTAGTCCGCACAACATTTGAATAATGGAAATATCATGTGATTGAGGAGTGAGAGAGAAAAGACAAGAATTTGAGAAAAGCTTGAAGAAAGTAGATAAGCTATGTTGGTATATATATAATATATAATCCTAAATCACAATCGATTTCCACGTTTGTACTATATTGAGAATCCCTTTGAAAAAACGTAATTCTTTCGTAGTAAAACTTAACTTATTTCACCATCTTACCTGTACAAATGATGAAAAAATATTCGAGATGTGTTGATATGTGGGACAGGCATAGAATTGATCAATTCTCGCATTCTAATCACTTTTAAATCTGGTGCTATATCGTTATCACCTATATATTGAATAAAAGGAAATCCAATTCAAGAGCGATCCATAATTATAGATTATACAAAATGTTGTATTATACAGTGATATAAACTAATAACAGAGTAAACAGTATATATATCCATAAAAACGATTATGAATTGGGGTTTCCAGACGGCCAACAGTAAATCCTATTTTATGAACAACTACGAGTCTTCTAAGACGAACAAGAACGAATATGAATTTCGACATACTGAACGTCGAAAACAATAGGTCATCTTTAATAACCACAAGCTAACATGAGATAGAGAAAATGAGACTTTCAGGATAGCTTTGTATTCCGAACAGAAGTTGACAACTGACAAGGAACAACTATGCCTAGAAAGTAATATACAATGACCTCGGGGAACATAACGAAGTTAGCAAACTAAAAGCGATAACAAACAATCAGTTAACACCAAAGTTCATAGCGGGAATATGAACTAGAAAAATGTAACCGAAATTATCCATTAAGGAAGGAATTAGCATGTAATTACAGAAAGCTAAGTAAATTCACCACTCATTAGCAACTAAATAACCTATTCATAGTCGTTTCAGTAGCTAGATAAAATAATATGATCAGTAGCAACGTTCCTTTAATTGCTTTCAAAAATTGTCACAAAGTTAACATACTGAACACAGTGATATTGGTTAGATGTAGATATGTAGCATTACCGTGGAGAGGAGATTCGAAAAAGTGCAATAATATTGAAGATGTAGTGTGTTGTAAATAAACATAATATTTGAAAGAAGATAATGGATTTACAGAGGTTACAGAGCTAAAACAATTAACTGATTATGCTATGAAGACACAAATTAGTAGTAATTAAGAATAACATGAGTTGAGTTGAGACTAGTCAGTTGAAAATAAAGTCATGAACTTGAAATTAAAGATGCAATAAAAATAAGGGAGAGTTGTGAGAATAATGCATTATATTGATGATAACATCACGATGACAAGGAAAGACACGCCACTGTTTCCCTTTGGATACACAAACCTAACTTGAGACATTTGTGACTATGGCTTCGGCAAACCTAAGAAGAACAAAGTTTAACTGTCACATGACATTTCATCTGGGAACCTAATGCACTAGGACTTGTGTCTATTTAAGATGAGAATCACGTCCAAACTGGTTATTCCGAAAAGGATTTGAGCGTAGTTTTTATTCCAGAAACATTCTACTGGAAATTATTGTTAGTATTTCTATTGCAGAACTATTAGACGTTTGGGGTATTGTATTATTATCTCATATTTGTACATTTTCTCTCGACACACAAACTATTTTTTTACGTCTTACTGTTTCAGATTTTCCATTAATTATTAATTTTTTTACTGCTCAATTTTGTACCACTTATGATTGAGTTGTGTATACATTGTAATCTCTTATTATTGTACTACCCGAGCAGGTATTCGAGGTAAAGTATTCTACGAGTTTTGAGTCATAAATGAATAGAGTAAAAATGAGAATCTGTTTGTTGTCCTTATCTTCTGATTGTAAACTGAATTGCAAAGAGTTCAAGGACCAATCAGCATTAAGGCTTAAGAAGTTGTTCATTGTTATGAAAAAAAAGGTCATCAGTTCCATAGGCCATATACGTAAGGAAGTCAATATTCAAACTAGATAATACTCCTCCTTCTATTATAGACGGTCCGATCACACAGACGCTAATACAAATCAAGGAACTGATCTTTTTTTTAAAAATACAACAAAATTACACAAACGCAGTACAATAAAACCATTAAAACAAAGTAAATCATTTCAAACTATACGACACAGATTTCAAGTTATTTCAATAACGATGAAAAAGGATAATGAGAAAATTTTTTTTCTCTGTTACAAAAAATTAGCAAACATTATTTACTGTATTATTAATATTTATTGAATAATTTATTTACCCAATAGTTGATCAACTTCTGGATATATTTTGAATGTTATAAGTGGTTCTTTAAGTTCACGAAAAAATAATTTCAATGCCCCTGTTAATACTTCCAAACTCCATTTTTCAGAATTTAAACTGTAGTTATCTATGATAATAAAAATAATAAATAGAATCAAGAAACAAATCAAGTATTTCAATTGATCATTAAAATAGTATTAATGATATATGAAATATGAAGAGGATAGTTAAATTAGAAATGATATTTAAAATTAATCTTATTAACTGGAGGATTATTGAAAAAGTATACACTAATGTACAATTATTTTATTCTTATCTAATACTTCATATCAGTTCATATTCACAATCATCTAAATGATTGAACTTAATTATTTAAAGTGAATAATGATGCTGATGTCTAGTAGTGAAAGTAATATGTAATTGACCATTGAGCGTGAACAGAGACGTTCAGCTCACTAAACATTAGATATGTTATGTACTTTTTCATTGCTTCCTACTCTGAACTCATTGAGTGTAAACTGATTGTAATTGTATTGAGAAAATTATCTCCTCTATATTCAAAGGATAAATAGCAAATGGAAAGGATTACCGACGACAAAGTTTGATGAAGAATCTTGGTGGGAAGCCTTTGTTCTTAGGGGAGTTGGAAAGTCCCGATTCCAAACCAATGGTGCACATGGGCTCCAGTACCCTGAGGGAACGAATGGGGTATGAACCAATCGTTGGTCACCGGCCGCCATGGGACTGCATGTCCTTACGATCTCCACTGCCTTGTGGATCAGACCTTTAGGTTGAAGGCTCCAGGTGTGGCCCCCTAAGAAAACCACTTGCTTCGGTTTGGGCATCCGGGCAGTATCACAGCCCTCACACAAATCGAATGAGACTTGTGTCACGCATATGTATCTGGTTCCCCCTTGTATCAGTATTCATGTGTTCAAATAAATAAATTTTTTTCCTCCACGACGGATAACTGACGTAAGTAAGTATCCAGTCTAATGGTAATATGATCTCCACAAGCGATTGTATCGCCTTATTATAGTAGTATACAGTAAAAATAGAAACTATTTTTATACTCCCGTTTATATCAGATGCCAAGAATAACCATTAAGCTAATGTGTTCATAAAGCCCAACATTCTATATTTTCATACTTTTGTTTAAATCTAAGGGGACATAACACGATTTTTATCTAGGCATTATTGATTAGTGAAATTGTCTTTATTTCCAATTCCGTTGACTTCCTAGGTCATGGCTTTTCATTAAACCTTTAAAAAATGTGTTAATTATACATAAGAATATTAGATAATATAATAACACGTACATCACATATATGCATAAAAATTTAAAAGTAAACAATCATAAAGTGTAGTTTATTAAATAATAGAACAAAACATGATATTCATCGTCAATACACGAGTATGTAAAATAAACTTAAAGTAGATAGTATAGATGGAAACATTGGATAATTTGATTGATAAATTTTACCTACAGCTTGTGTAACTTAGCTAGTATAAACATGTAACTACACCTGCTAACCATTGTATAGCATAATAAATTACTTATTAAAAACCTCTAGAGAAGAGAGAAACTTTGGTTCCAATAGTATTCAAAGGTTTAAAAACTATTTCCAGCCTGAGGCTTAAAACCCCACCTTCACCCATAGACTAAAAAAACTTGTTTAATTTGTTCTGTCACTTTGTTTTCCCAACATTACGATTATTATCTCATTTACTAACTACTCGGTTTAGAGCCACACTCCAAGTGTAGGGGTTAGTAATTTTACTCGGTCGCCTGGACTAAAGAAGGCGCGGCAGTGTTCTAACCTCAGACTTATTGGCTTAAAGTCGAACACATTGACGACTGAACCACTACTCCATTTCATTCTCAAAGAAATTTACCTTTAAATTAGAAACAATAAAGACAAGTGTCCGAATAATATAAAATAACAATAACTTTATTGATTAGTGACATATACTTGTATAGCATACTTTGACACACAATTGAAGTACCATGTTATTTAGAAAATATTTAATATTTCAAGAAATTTTGTATGGTGTTGTCGAAGTAAAGTTGTTGCAAGTCCTACTGCATGATGTAAACTCTGGTTCAGTGTTCAAACATATGATGGAAAAGTTATCTTCACTAGGTTTAAAAGTTATATAAAGACTAGAGACTGAATTGCTTTGAAGGCTAAAATAATCTACACAATGTTTAGAAGTGAGCTCTATAGACCAATGAAAAATTATTGTAGTAACTGCGATTCTCTACCAATTACAATACTTCTGATTCAAATTCATGAACAAAAGATAAGTAAAATTAAATGGATTTTGAACAAAAAATTGTTTGACGTTTGATGCAGCTTTAATGTTTAATCACATGCCGCGAAGTCCGAAGGTTTTCGATTCTGTTCTTATGCAGATTATGAATACACACTGCTGAGGAGTATGATAATAGAATAAGACAATTGTCCAGTGATCCCTGATTTTCAATATGTTAAATGCTGATAAAAAGAGGGTGTATTAAGGTTTACGAATTAAGGAACGATTGAGTTATTCTAATACGAGCATTTTTACTGTAGACTCGATAGCAGCAACTGCGCACAACTCTTCAGTAACCAGCCGTTAGTACAGACTGAAGATGAAATGTAGGGAAAACTCGATATTTAAGCAGAACATAAAATAGTACGACTCAGTATACATGGTAACGATAATAAACAACAAATCAGTATACTTAAAGTAATGGCAACCAATCAGGTGATGTGAAAGCAAAGATGAATGATGGATAGCAGTGAAATCGAGGATGCGAGTTTCGTCCTATTTGGGACTCGTCAGCTGGGTTTACTAGGCATAGATGGGGAGATTCAAACAAACAATACGAAATGAAAGTTTATTGAGAAGATCCGAGTCAGGAAAATATCATCGAGGTTATCCATTAAAAAAATAACTTATAATAACGAAAAACTAGGTGTTTGATCCATTCTAAGCAGTGATACTTAAACTGAGGTCAATGCCTGACGAGTACCATCTACAAATTAAGTTAAAGCTTAAATATACGAAATTAGGCATTTAAATAATACAAGATTACAGGTACACCTTGCTGACGAGTGCCAAGTAGCACGAGATTTCGGTTTAGGGTTTCTTGTTAACAACCCCCAACCACCATCTTATTGAATAAAAACATAAAGATGATCTTATACTTTATATTTTGAATTATCACAACTTATTAAGTCAAAACTGACGAATGACCCATAGTCCTGCTATTTTGATTGAGTAATTTGTGGTTTTCATTACTGAATATGCAATCAGTCGATAGTAGTGTGGTTTATGTGAACACCGATCAGAAGTGGAATGATTGGCAACAGGTGGTTAAGAAGGTCGAATTGAAGAGAATAGGAATGTAAACAGAGAGTAATTGTAATAACAACAAGGATGAAGTAACGATGAAGTTTGTAAGAGACAACTGGTGGATGATGTAAAAATCAAGTATTTAATGTATGGTTTTCATATTTTACGAAGATATTCTGTAATTTGTATTGAACAATAAATTAGTTGTCTCCATCAAGTGAACGTTCACTTTAGTAGTAATAGTATTATAATTAGTAGTACTGCCTACACAGTCATCTGATTAAGATTTGAAGAACAGTCTCATGGGCAAAGGATCAATTTGCCAATCTTAATAATTATCAATCAATTAAGCTAACTTAGTAATACTATTACACAATATGACTAATACAAACGAAATATACATAAATTGACTTTCTATGAATCTAACACAAAATGTGTGTGAACAACCATAATAACTGCTGATTGTCAATTTCATTATGTTTAAGTTAAAACACAGTTTTAATTGATCAACTCATTGTATGTATTAAAACAACAGAACAAAAGGAACAGTCTTCTCTTAACAGAATGCTTATTACTATATAATGTAACATTTGCAATGGAAGACGTCTGCACAATTTTGTCTAACGACAGATTTTGAGGGTACGACCCGTAAATATTAACAACTTATTGATTTAATATACTGTACATTAGCTGAAATCATTGAACATGCATGAATGACGATACAAGTAAAAAGTAGTAACAATAATAATAACACATTATCACTACTTTTTGTCTTGATATGATGATGACCGTTGCCACTTTAACCAAATGATGTAATTAAAATGAAAATATACAACAAAAGTGCATTTTAACCGTAATTCTTTCTATGTGACAACACCAAAATACAATCAAAATAATCAAAAACGAAATGAAAAAGTATATACATTTGTATTCATCAATGATGAAAAGTTTGGAATTAGTAACAAATTTTAGGGATTATTGTTAGGTTTAAGTAATTCCACAAATCATTCACGATTGGTTTAAATTACCACTTAAACCATTGGCCATATAAATTGGTAAAGAGAATGTAATCAGTACTGAAAAAAAGATATGATAGTGATCATTATAAAGTGGTCGATTAATGTGGACATATCTATCAAAACCGAATAACTTAGTAGTAATGTCCTCGATGTGATCTGTATTGAAATCGCCTTCGAGTAAATATAAGTGCCTTTAAGCTTTCCGGACACAACTGTCAACCAGCATAAAGCCTACAGTCTTTTTTAAAGTATTCCAAAGGGTCTAAAATCAAATATCATTAATCGAAAGTGGGACCTGTCGAGTGAAGTAGTGTCCTAGGATACTAAACAATAAGAGTAGCTGGGTCGTAATAAGAGAAATTTTAACAGAACCTATGTAAGTGGCATGAAAGTGACATCATTTAAGAGTCAAAATACCGCAAGCTTACTAGATTTTAACTGAAGGCTGATAACCAACGGTTAACTAATTACCAATGCTTTTGTTCCCTAAATTATTACAACAACGGAAACAGACTATTAACAAATGTTACACAATTCAGATGTCTGTAGTAAAATAGTAGTGTAATAAACTATATACTTGGAATTTCTAAACAAAAGAACACGGCAACAGGACTTTTTATATAAAAAGTCGATTGACTTATATAATGTTTACCAATTATGTAACTGTAACTATTTACTATCAAAAATGAGAGTCACAATTGACCATGCATACTATAAACAAAAAGAAAGAATATTAAACACTAAATATCAGTATATGATATTTTTAAAGCAAAAAAATGCCACCCACATATGTAATATTGATAATATAGTAGTAATATGTTTATTAATTCATACCTAATTCTATGCCTAAATGAACAATAACAATTCAATATATAATTGACAGTTATTCTGGTTGATTATTTTTAGGTTTTGTCTAAATCAATCCAAATTGAACTTTAGTTATCAGGTGATCATTCGATGTTATGCTGAAATTAATTCTATCATTGAAATCACATGAAAAATAATGAGATTCAGAACGTTAGATTATATGTAAACCCACAGATATTCACACAATAATCAAATCAAAAATAATATACTAACCAATGATCAAGTATGTATTTATACGATCGATCTTAAGCTTTAACGTATAAGACAGAGAAAAAGAGCGTTCATTAAACTATATAAGTCCTTAAATTGAGGTAAGTAAATAGGCAGTGGTGAAACTATAATTTATGGACGAATCAATCAGATTTAGGATAACAGGTCTTGGATTTTGGCGCGAACTTCATTCATATATTTGTCTAAATAACGTTTTGGCAATTTAGCTGATGTCAGTTCGTGATGAAAATCATAAATCTAATTCCTAACTCTCACCGTCAAGTGTAAATTATAAACCTTATTCTTCAAACTGCTTTATAACCCTCGTTTAGCCCTATTAAGTAGGTGGACATTCTCAAGGTCACTTTGGCGTCGTTCAAAGGTCGTCCGTAAAGTAGTCACACCGTGACACCTTTTTGTAGCAGAAAAACAAACAACTATTGATTTTATAGACAATTCGAATATTAAAAACAATTTCAAGCAGTCATGTTAAGAGGTATTAATTTACAGTAAATAAACAGTATACTTCAGTTCACTTACATTGATTAACGGCACAGCGAAGTTTTTGGATTGTAGCACCATTTCCGCTTGATCGATAAATCCCAACATGATCAAGTCCTGAAATTTAATAGGAAAAGTAAAATAAAAATTGTTAAATTTGAATATTTATGGATTAACATTTAAAAAACAATTACGTTCAGTATGAAATAGATGGAGCGTGGTTAGCACTTAAGTCTAGGACTCGTGTTTCGTTCTATTTGGGATTCATCAGCTGGATGTACCTGGGTCTCAGAGTTGATTTACATCCCGGAACTCAAACCCGTCCGCCTTAAATGCCATCGCGATATCCAATGATCTACTGAGTCCCGATAGCCATCCAGTGGTGTTGATGCTCTTAATTAAAATTTGATCAGTCTTGGTCGGGATATGAGGTTCAGTTATCAACTTGGAGCACATAAATAATGAAGTCCTATTCAGTGTATACGAAGACGTAAAGTGAAATCTCTTGAATGATCTGAGTCTCGATAGACTTGGTAGTTTGGTGTCTGAACAAATCTCACCATGAACTTAAAAATCTCCTTTGGCTTCTCCCAATCAGATTCATTTGTGATGTACGTGAGATGTACATCTGCCAACCAACAAAACTGTATAGAAAGAAGCAATCTGCTTTGTCCTACTCGATGACTATGGATCATAGTTTATGAAAATAGAAGACATCTTTAGTCTAGTGGGTTTTGGTCATAAGCGTATTTCAAAGTTTATTCGCGTATTGTGGAACAACTAGGTGAGTTTGGACGTAGAATACTAAGCAAGGATGAGAAATAGGTTGATGAGCTTGTGATTCTTAATTATCTGAGGTTGTTGGAACATGTAGTATGCACGACTAACCGCCGCCTACCTTGATGATCGAGGTGAGATACTGTAGGAGTGAGTTGACAGCTAAGTAGGGGAGACCAAACTTAACCGTAGCATCAGTCGATGTAGCCAATAAACGTTGGTCCTGAGTTTGATTCCCATGTGCGAGGTCGCAGATGTGCACTGGTAAGGAGCCCCATGCTAGAATACAACGGCGGTCCAGTGTTTTCAAGTCCCCAATGGTGGTCCTGCTCAGATCAGTTAGTGATTATGAATATGAGAATTGTACTACTTGAAACACGCTCCCACAACGCAAACAGGGACAAAGTAGTTTTATCAAAGGTATTGTGGTATCCCATAACAAAAAAACCACTGATTTCTGCTCATTTGACTTGGTGAGACTAATGTGGTCGAGTCATGGTTACTTATAAGTACGGATTATTGCAATGAAAAGCTTATAGTTAGTGGATAACAGAATCCCGAACGAGTTCTCAATGAAAATGAACCGTTTTATATTTTACACCTATACGATTTAAATTCATTTGAAATGTGATTGAATGCTAGATTTAAATTTTGTACGTTATTTAACAGCCTATGAATTTAGGGGTTGATTAGCATGATTACTTATTTTCTGGTATTAAACTTCTTGCCACGAATAACTAGCAAATCTAACGATGCTGTCTTGTCATGGACGTTGATAAGATGTTCAGATAGTTTAGTGCAGAAAACAGTTTACTCTCCGATATTCCATGGATTTCTAACAGTGGTGGTATAGTTTGAAAAGTACTAAGCCAACTAACACAACCAAGTCTATTCACAAAGATGTCGTGCGAAACTGGTTTAAGATAGGTTTTAAGATCGACAAGACCTTGAATATGAATCCTGTTTATTTCATAATTTCCTTCAGAAGGAATATTCTCTTGTGGTATGGATAACCCAAATGCTCATGTATGATAATTTATACTATTACGGACAGCATTAGAGAAAAGCATTAATCACATCATAAAAGATCAAATCAGTGTTATAATGAGATCTCTGTAAATTTGTTTGGATTTTAATCTGTAAGTGGTCCAATACTCAAACCAGGGAATAAAACTATAAAAAATAATGTTATACATAATAAAAAAAGAATACCTCGAGCTTCAATAGCACGAATTGCACGAACAATAAAATTAGGTACATCAGAATCTTCATTCTCACATATTTGCATGATTGTAGATGCAAATACAGATTCATCTATTTACAGAGAAAATTAAATCAAAATATTTAGAAGAAAATTATTTATTAACGTTGATGAAATTTTTATTCAAAATACAAAACAGAGAAAAAACATGCATATCCGTTTAGACATCTGTTAGACAAATAAAACTATCATATTATACCTTATTTACTGTTACAAATAAACAGATAAGCTGATTACATAATATTCAAATTGTTACTAGGAGAAAAAGAGTGGAATAAACAGGAATGATCTGGGCAAAATGATACATCCAGTTAACTGTGGAACTAATAATCCTCTCGGACTTAAACGATGATTTTTTTTTGTTTTAATGTATCGTCGACCAGATAGTATGAATCTTGTTTTTCAAAAAAGTATCAACGTAATATATTTGATATAAAACATTTTAAAGTATTCTTCATACACAATTATAGCCTTAACAAACACTATACTAAGTTTGTGAAATAACGAGTAAAGTACATAAAACCACAGAGAAAAAACCCAACGAGAGTTGTGTCATTAAACAGATGAAATTTTACTATTAATATATTTTAGTAGCTTAGTTGTTATGAAAACAGTGAATCAAAGTAGTGTACAAATTTATTAGTAATTTTAAAAAGACCCATTATATCAACGTTGTATTTAGTGTCCAGTAGATGGGTATACGATTAAGTTATTGATTATTTTTGTAGATCAACAGGCAGGCGTTTCATTGATCGTTTCTTCTATCTTTCTAATGTACTTGATTTTGTACAGGTTTGTAAGTTGATGGATGTTTTATCAAGAGACAAAAAAACAAATAATCATATACTATCGTTTATGTGATTAAACAAGATATCACCTAGAAATTTAGGTAATTTATATAAATTTCATTAATATAATAAACCCTTGAAACCGTGTCGGGTGTAAGGCAGTTACCCATCGAAGACAATGGAGGATGGTCGTGAAATGGTTGAAGTTATACATTAACACCGTCAGATGCCGGCTCCGTGGTCTAGTGGTTAAGCGCTTACGCGCGAGACGGGTAGGTCCTGGGTTCGAATCCCGCGAGGCGGAGTCATGGATGCGCACTGCTGAGGAGTCCCACAATGAGACGAAGCGACCATCCAGTGCTTCCAGGTTTTTCGTAATGGTCTAGCTTCAATTGACTCATGATCTCAACCATTGAAATTACCATAATTTCCACAAAAACCCTTCTGATATAAATATAATTATCAACAGATTTTTAGTATATTGTAGTTTGTGAAGTTTAGATAAATGTTCAAAGTGTAACCGAGATCAATATAATGAGGAGAACAGAATACAAAATGTGTATTTATACGGCGGGAAGTAATAATTAAGAGGTTATGTAAGGGTAATGAAATTTACAAGTGATTGGGTAGTCGTTCAACATGATAAAATAAACAAATATGTGAACATCAATCAGATTATGTAAGAGATGAATATCAGATGAAAGAATAATAAAATAATAAAAAGGTTGGGAACAGGGTTGGAAAAAATTAGAACTAACAAACGTTTTTAAACAAATGTCCAATCCCTATGGCAGGGAAGTGTTAATCAAACTTTGGCTCTGTAGACATAAGTTAGGTCGGAAACGTTTGATAGCGATGGCCTCTGCAAAACGGAGTAAGACCGGTGTTTGTGTCTGTTGATTATTTTGAATGCATCACTTACATTCACTCCATGTTTACTATCCAAAATATGTCTGGCACTTGTAAAGACTTTACTCACTTTCAAACATAAGTTCCTAGGAATGCGTTCAGAAAACGTTGTAAAGGCCCTTCTCTCTGTCCTTACTACGTAATTGCTGCCGCAGGTACATGTAGATTCATACATGCAATTAAATATGATGTCGAAAGCGTATTGATCTACATTTGAATGGTACAGAGAACACTTGATGTCCAGTTGTGAAACCAATTGAGCAGCAGGAAACCTTTTCAGCACCGCCTTGACTCTCCTATAGAATCTTCCTGAAATCTTATCTCCTTTGAACGGAAGGCGGATGAAGACAAGTCTCTTCTTAACAGTTGATTGTCTATCATCTTTGAGATATTTATTCCCAAAGTTAGTAGTAAATTCCCTCGGGTATCTATTTTTTATACAATACTTTTCCTGAATAACCAATCCCTCATTTATTTAGCCATTTGAGCATAACATCATAGATCTATTGAAGTCTTTTGAATAGACACCTTTTGTAACTGATAGGACAAAAGCTGTTAAAGTTCAAATACTGTTCTGTCCATGTTTCTGTCCTATATACACTTCTTGCAAGACTTCAATCACTTTTCTGTCTTACACTAAGATCTAAAAAGTTCAATTGGTTATCTCTTTCATATTCCATTGAGAACGTTATGTTGGGATGAGAGTTGTTGAACTAAGAAACCGAGAAGCATGGTCCATATCATCACAGATACTGTCGTCAAAAAATCTGGTGTAGTATTTTGTATTTCGTGTTTTAGTTTCGCTAGTTCTAGGCTAGTCAAGAAGATATCGGCCAAGATAGGCCCCATGGTCACCCTATCGGTTTGTTTGTATAGTTGACTGTTGAATTGGAAACGAACCCCTTTTGCGCAAAATAGTAATAATTTTCTCAACTCATCTTTAGGCAGAAGAAGTAATTCAAATTGTTCATAAATTATATTAAAAGTTACTGCTGGTGATATACTCACAAAAAATGAACACATGTGAGAGGATACTATGAATTTATCTGATATATTCAACTGATCTATTTCTTCGGAAAACTGTATTTGCGTCTTTTTAACTATTGGCCGCCAGTTTTATACGAATCGATTCTAATAATTATGTTAACCACCGAGCCAACTTATGATATGGTGAGTTAACCATGAAGATTATAAGTCTTAACGGGATATTGGATTTGTGTACTTTAAGGAGACCATATACTAAAGGCAGTCGTGATCATTTTGCCATCAGATTGTTGTAAGTTGAATTATCAATGAGTTTCTTCTTCAAAAGTTCCTAAAGATGTTTATTGACTCTGTTCCCGATTGTTGCAATGGTATCCCCTCTAGATTTGTCGATTTGGAATCACGATTTAGCGTTGAGAATTTGGAACATTTTATGCACATGATCTTTTCGGTTAATTATTACAACACAGGGACACTTATCTGGTCATACTATAATAATATTATCATTCACTTGTAAATTCGTCAGTGCTGGTATATGTTCCTTCGTCGAATGTTTTGAATGTGCAGTTGCGGAAATATAGTACTGATTTGCAATACCAACCAGTCTAGATTTAAATCAAACTTTTCTGTCTTCGTCTATAGGTTTTTGCAAACCTAGTTGTTCTTGCTTTATTTAAGTTTATCAAAGGATTTGGTTGTATCAAATACATCGAATTTATGAGAAAATGAGATTAATTATATATTGTATTAGCAATATAATCTGTAAAATACATATATGCTTTACAAAAAAACTCATCATTGGTTAGACTAAGAAATTGGATATGCAGAATAAGATAGAGTTTCTATGATAAAAAGAATCCACACACTTGAAAACAATCACTTTGTGTCCGTCAGACTTGAATTGCATAAAAGGTATAAAATTGTTCATTAACGGAAAAATTGTTTCTAATAAAGAACCAAGTGAACAACCTGTAAATTATTCACTAAATTACCAAAGATTTACATTGACAAAAGCTATTTTCTCAAAGTTTCACAATGACCAACTTATTTCTATTTACAATGAGTTAGTGTGTTTATTTACTTACAACAGATTGTATATATCAAATAATCAATTCTATTTACATTTATTCCGATATAAATGTAAGTATGAAGTATTTACTATCAATCGTATATGAAAAGTTCACCAAAAAACGCATATACATTAATTCAAACTAATAAACATATATTTTTGCAAAAAAATATAATCAGTGCTTTATGGAATCTTTACAACAATCACAGTGTCTTTATTTTTTTTCCGGTACAAATTCCATTCAAGTTATTCTGTTTATTATTATTATTATTATTATTATTATTATTATTATTATTATTATTATTATTATTATTATTATTATTAGTGATGATGATGAAGATCATAAATTTGGTAAATATTGTGTTCAAAGTGTTTATCGTCAAGATGACACATTATTTTAAAAGTGCACTGTTAAATAATTTACATTTTGCATGATATTCATCATTCGATGGAGCAATGCAATAAATTCAGCAAACAAGTGATTTCACATTCTAACTCCAATTAATGTAGGTCAGTGAGGAAGACGAAAATTGAACGGCCAGTGTTTAAAAGGAGTTAGCGAATACGAAGGATCTAGCAAGAAGAGTTTGGAAATCTTGACTATAAACCAATAGTGTATATAAGCACCAGGTTACTGAGGCAACGAATGGCAGATGAACTTATTTTAACCGCCGGTTGCCATGGGACTTAAACTCCTGATGCTGCTCCCCTGCATTGTGGATTGTACTTCCAGACGAAAGACTCGGACACTAGCCTCCTAAGAAAACCAGATAAGCCGGTTTGGATGCACAAACAATATATCAGCACTTACCCTACACGACGATTATTACTACTTAAAAAAATGTTATCGCTCCAATTCTCTGTTCATGAAAGCGATATTTATAATTAGATAGTACCATGCAAATCTTTTTTACAACTTATCATCTTTCCATTTATTTTATTACCATTTTGAGTACACCTTTATTTTTCAAGTTTTCATAAAGACTTATTGAAATGTGCGCTGATTTTGTTAAGAAAGACAATAGAAGCATTGGGATTAGACGATCCAGCTCGAAGAAAAAACAACCAAGATTTTTAAGGTCATTCAATACCTCATCTGTGATAAGAGTTCTATCCAGTCTAAACAGTCTCAAGTCACTGAATGGAAATTTATGGATACAGCACTTGATACAGCTTTCCTGAAGCTGTATTTGTCTACCAAAGTGATCTTCTTGACATTCACAGAGTGACATAGATAGAACAACAGATAGGTTCAACTGTTGTTAGATAGCCTGAAGTCGATGTTTATCGTATATCTGAGACCAGTATTTAAGACTTGAGCAAAGTACTTGTCCACTATTTTATTACAAATGTTTTTTTACAAACGCCCCTATATATGAACTCTATGGTATCGATGTCCAGTTTTGCTAGAGTTTATGTCAAAGAAGCGGCAATAATCGACTGGATCCGCGTTAACAGTCGTTTCTATGTTGTTGAACTAGAATTTTCCATTAAAGTGAGAAAAAGTTAGCATGAGAAACTATGCTTTCTCGTAATCTACGTCAATGAGTCGACAGATTGCAGTTACAATATCATAGCAACTATCCTACAACCAATTTTGAATATGGTTAATTTCGGTAAAGCCCTTTTATTAACTTACTTAACTGACAATGTTATTTGAGCAGTAGCAATTCTCACATTTCTTTGTACTATTATGATCACTATCATATCTACATAAACGTTTATGCCTGATCACATGAAAGACTAGCTAAAATGTTAATATCTTAAATGTTGCTCGATAAATCATTCTCTTCCCCACGTATATATGTACGCGAATCTTACTATTAGCTTTTGCTCTGCCTTGCTGTGCCCTTACAAGATTTGACCATAAATTTACCTCTGTATCGGCTCACATACATATTCGCCTCTCTGCTTCAGATTCGCTTGATGTGCAGATAGCTTTTTGACATGTTCTATCCGCTAATACACTGTAGTTGCCGCTACTTATTGCCTTTTGATTTCAAACACCTTAGGATTTATATAATAACGGTTACAAAGGTGATTGCTAAACGAAGCGAAGCCACTACAATATAATCAAAGATGAATTCTACCGTCAATCCAAGGTCAGGTTTACAACACATCGGCGAGAGAAGTTTTGGTCTATACCTGAGAAACTCGTCCTCTCATAGCTGAAGATGTACAAAACCTCTGTGCTCAATTATCTGTACCTCTGATGGATTATTGACATCCAGTGGTAATATCATGTTTGTAATAAGGAGGTTCAACAATGTGCGTTTGGGCACAATGATGATGTTCCAGTTAATGTCTTCACCTTGAAACCCCGGCTTAAGTGGTGTGAAAATGTGTTACGAATGTGGTCCCAGCAGTATCCACTTCGTCGGCTATTCGCTGACACTAAGGCTGGATGGGATAAGTATAGAGTCAGTCAATTTATGAAATAGTGCTGTTGCATGGAAGCCGTATAACATTAGCATATGTCTGTTCATTATGACTCCCTGGGTGGGGTCCTAGAGATGGTACAACACAGTGGCTTTCAGATCTTTCACTAAAGTAAGAAGTGGAGGCTAATATTTTTGTGGCAACGTTAGACGAGACAGGTTGATAAGTAAATATAAGAGTAATAGTTCATTTCAAATATCCCTACTCATTTTATCCGAACGTACACAATGTAATGAGTTCGATAAACCTTTAACATCATAAATTGATTAAAGAGAAAAACAGTTTAGAAATAATTTACACTACAGAGTAATGTAAATTGAAGAATCATTGTAAACACTGTAGAAACTTTTCATACAACCTACCTTAGTTTGACAATAAAACAGGCATGTGTATTAGTCGGTAGGTATACAGTAATATCTTTCTGATTGATTCATCAATAATTAACGATTGATATGATTTTACAAATTTGAAAAAATATTACGTAAGATTTCTTTCGAATATCTTACATTCCTTAATTATCAGTATGAGGATTTAAGGAGATTGTAGTATTTTAATAGTTGAATTCACGAGTCAATCTAAGCTAGACCACCATTGAAAACCTGGATGGTGTTATAGCTTAGATTGACTAGTGAATTCAACTACCAAAACTACTATAATCTCCAGAAACCCCCACTTTGATAATAAATCATGTGCTTACTAGTGGCTAGCTTCACGACAGATTTCCTGTAGTTCCAGTGGAGTTTAATCAGTGTCAGATGGAGACAGTTATCTACATAAGACAATGGATAAATGGTTGCAAAAGATCATGGATCGAGTGAAGTTAGACCACCGTTGGGTATCGGCCCAGTGGTCTAAAGGTTAAACGTTTGCGCGCGGAACCGAAGGTTTTGGGTTCGAGTCCCATGTGCAGGATCGTGGATGTGCGCTGCTTAGGAATCCCATGCGGGAACGAAACGCCCGCTCAGTGCTTTCAGATTTTCAATGTTGGTCTAGCTTAGACTGATTCATGAATTCAACTATCAAAATTCCTAATTAATTTAACTTGATTTACTGCGAAATAATAAACAAGTTCAACTTGATAAATGTAAGCTATTTTTAACAAAAATCATATTGTCACTGCCTTTCTTTGCTTTTTGTAGTCTACGAACTCACTTTATTTTCCTGAAAGCACTATTTATTGTTCCAAGATATGATGTACTCGGTGTGGTGTGTTTACATGTAACCTTGAATAACATAGATTATGCAGCACTAACAAAATATAATTATAAACTGTCTAAGTAATTTTTCAGAACTGCCAATTTCAAGTAGGTTGTTAAATGTAAACCAATTAAAAGATAAAAACTTAACAAAAAATGATATCTATCCACAAAAAACAAAGCAGGGTTAGTAGTCATGGTTGCAAACATAAATATACAAGTACGTAATAAACGTTTATTGATTTGGCCACCTGATAATTGCAAGGTAAAGAATTTGTTAGATACAATTACAAAAAATTTGTGTATGTTCTGATATTAATGTAGGAGTTTTGTGGAGATGGTTGGATGTTATGTGAGATCAAGAACTGATTTAAGTTAGAAAATTACAGAAAATGTGGAAGTACTGAACAGCTACTTAGTTCTAACGTGGAACTCCTCAACAGTGCGAATCCATAATTCAACCATCGAGGCTTAAATTCTACGATACAGTACGGATCAAATACATACAATTTCTCGAATCTCACTGATAAAGTAAAACAATTGTGAAAACGCCGTTAGTGAATCGGAAAATCTTGTTACATCAGTGATGAGATTATGCAGTTATCTGTAACCATAAAAGATATGTTTGAAGTTATTTTCTTTTTGAATACTGTCAAGTAAGACCGCGATAAGTACACTACTATGTTAAGAAACCTCTAGAATTAAACCGATAACCATACTTACAGATCCCCAACTTTATCTCAGTACATACAATTAAGTATGTTATAAGTTGTAACAAAATAACAGTGATTCGTACTTAAGTAAATCTATAATTTTATAAGGAATTCAAGTACGGATATACAAAATGTACAAATTATGAATACAAATAACTTACTCTTTAAAATACCGCGAGATCGTAGGGATGCAGCAGTTGGTCTTGTTCTAAAAAAATCACGCAATTTAACCAACAATTTTTTATCGAGCACAGAAGGTTGTCCCGAATCATCTAAAGTAAATAATAATAATAAAAACAAAATACAGTTAAGCAGAAAATATAACGAATTTGACAATGAGATGCACACCTGATAGTCCAACCATTCAATTTTTAGTTATATATACAATGCAATAGAGAATACTTAAGTACAAAAGGAAAGAAAGGTTAAAACAACGAGAATTAGTAAAGAGAAAATGATTAGGTGTTTCAGTTGTTAGACTTCAGCTTCATTGTTGATATAATGTTTGAAATTCTGTTTTGTTATCGTCTGATTGGTAATCAAAGAATAAATTCTTAATGTTATTTCTTCTTTTCTCATCAGAATGAATATTTGTTCCATGAAATAATTTATAATGATATGAGGAGTTATATACTGTAGTCAAATTTTGTGAAACTAAAAAAGGAGGTTCCGAACTTAAAGTTGAAAATTTTTCGGAAAACTCTGACCATACTGATATGATTGAATTTGAACTTGAAGACTCTTCATAAATTACATGCTATCATTGCCTGCAACCACTAGTTTAATGCATAAACTAAGATTTTTTTCTATGACACCTTCTTTCTGAACAGTATTTCATTCTATGTTAGTAATTTATGAATGGACGATTATGTAAGCTTCCAAATTCGTGCATTCCCCACGGTCATCTGGTAATATTCTAGTATGTTATCTTTCTAATGCATTGATTAACTTGCGTTTGACCATTTTGTGAATTTAAGTCAGCTGCAGATTTCCACTTCTTAAGAATCGATATACTATTTAGAAATCTCTTATTCAATAAGATATGTTCAGTTAAAGTTATTTTTTTAAAGAGATACAATCATGGAATATATAATATTTCGAACTCTATTACTTTTGAACTGGAGAAATCCTGATAAGGTTTCAGAATCGACCCAGTTCATGATGGTGAATTCGGTAAACATACCAGTTAACTCACTTATTAAGAGAAACGTATAAGTGTCAAAGAACCCTCTTCTCATCAAAAAACTTAATGCCAATACACTAGATTTTTTGGTAGTAGACGACCACCGAAAAAAAACAAGCAGGTATTTATTAAATGTTATTTCTATCGCAAAGTCTCTAAATAACCAATACAGGTTAAAGACGGAATCGAAAACAGAGGGATTAAGTCTTAAATGGGGCATATCCTAGATCCCACTGCTAACTACAGTTCATCTGTTTTACATAGAAATCGACCATTGTTAAAACTTTAATCGAATAGGACGGTTAAATTATGATACTAGCAAACGGTTATTTTAGAGCATAAAAAAAATTGAACGAAAAAAGGCACTTCAGAAAATGATTATTTAAATTTTTTGACATAGTATACTAGAAGCAGGGGTAAACATATTGATGAAAAGTGTCCTTGTTACTGGACAACATAATCACTATATAGGTCACATTCACAGCTTCTGTGTGTCGCTCTTATTATTCCTACAATTGATCGATTCTTCACCATCTAAACTCTAACATATGAAAACAAAACGAGTTAAGAGTTACAAAGATAGGCTTTATTAATCATTAACAATTTGACAAGCATACACGATAAAAACAATAAGGTTGTAAAAAAACTTTAAAAGAAAATAACCACAATACATTGTCTTACACAGTTTAGTCGTCTTAAAGTTAATTTATTGGAAGTTTATAAACTCATATATAAGATTTAAATATATGGTAGTTTACCAAGTACTTTCCAAAAATGATCCATAACACTTTTAAACATTAACATTATTTGTTTCAATCACAATGTAATTGGTGATTGTTAAGTTTTCTTTTTTTTTTCTTCAGCCTGGAAGTAATGACAACCTTCACATAAAAATAAATCATAATGGTCACCTTGAATTTTAGAGTAAGTTTTTAGCGCATTTATTTATTTCTCGTGCAGATACACCGGTCTTGGTGATTGCTTAAAAAACTTATTTTTTTGAATAAGTTTAGTGATTCTGAAAAAGCATCACGAAAAATAACATGAGAGACGCCAGGTTAAACAATTGTAATAATTAGGTAGTTTCAGCAAGACTTGATTAAGTTCTTATTAGTTCCAGAACTTATATTTCTTGTTTATTCATTGAATGCTAACTGATTGACTTTCAGTAAGTCACATTATAACATACTAGGAAACTGTTCAATTTATTATTCACAACTCATGGTGAACAAATGAGTTGAGTCACTTATTATAAATCTATGACTTTCATCATTTAATCAATTGATAAATTCAATAAACTAAAACTGAAGGTCGATAAACAAATAAATAGCGTAAGTTCTTGCACAAGTATGTACCTGTATTGTTGCTACACTTAATATTATAGTATGGTAAGCAGAAAGGAAAAGCAATGAAAATAATAGCATTGATGAATAAATAAAAAATATATCAAAATAAACCGATAAAATCAGACAATATAGAGTACAGAATAAAATTACACTCAGAATTTATCAAATGAATAAACTATGTCGCTGAAAATTCTAGAAATTACCTCGTTAGATCCTGACTAGGAATTTCGGACAATTCGATACAACATAAACTTATAGGTCAATTAACCCGCAGACTGATGTCTTACTCTTTTCCCAACGACATTTGCAAGTCACTATAGCTCATACATATATGTGGTGGTTAAACGTAGACAAATAATGACCTAGCCACTGCAGTTTATAGGGACTCACAAAATTATCAAATTTACGGTTAGATTAGGCTGCAGTTACGACTATTTTTGTGAAGCTTTTTGGTAGATAACTCTTTCAAGTTAGAGAATAGGAATAAAGTATTCAGTAGAATAACGTAAATTCGCTGGCTTATTGGATTTGTATTAGTGTCTTACAATCTGCAAGATTAAATTATCGCTTTACATGAATTTAGCGTAATTCGATTATTTGTATTGCAGCAAGCTCGTAAATCCCTATAGATAAATACACACTAGAATGCAGATACATAAATTAGCTTCGTCGATACTTATTGATAAGATGTCCAAAGCTGAATCAAATCTGTATTCACTGCTTTGTAATTTTCAATACTTATTTTAGCTAATATTAGTTAGTAATGGAAATTACTTGGAAGCAGTAATAGCGCTAAAAATGAACAGAAATACATATTTCATTGATGTGCAAAAATAAGAATAAATCAAAATTAACCTACTTAATTTTTCAAGATGATATAAAAATCCTTTAGTTTTTGCTTTAATTCTATGCATTAGAGGCTTATAATTTAAGTATTACTCAATAACATATATCAAGAGAAGTGTATTCCAAGTGGATGAGAGTACTGAAAATAGCATATGCACTTAAAGTACAGTATATCATGTGTATCCAGCCAATAAGTTAGTATGATATTTATATATATATACCTATTAGTAAGTCATTTGATAAATTCTTAAAATATTTGTGCATTTACTATGTCAATATTAGTACCATTATACAAAGAGAGGCTGTGAAAAAAACATATCCATGGATGCGTGATTCATAAGATAGAAGCATTCACTTAGTATAATCTGACTACTATTAAATAATTTATAATAAGAACAATTCCGAATTCTTGTGAAAATTCCAATAAGGAGATAATTAGGTTTTTGATTAAAAAAAGATTATTTTACCAACTGACGTCTTCATAAATGATAATATAATTTGGATAGTCTAAGTTATCCGGTGACATTTAAGATATAAATGAAACTATATTTGTAACAGAGTTGAGCAAGAATAAGGACAAGTGAAAACTGTTGGATAACGACAACCTTTAATTCCTAAATATAATTTTTTCCTCTAGGTAACTAAGTAACCATAAAATTACTGTCAAAAATAGACTGACGAAACCAAACACTTGAACATTTCTCATCGAGCAAATGTGAACGACATGTAGACTTGGGATGAACGAGTATTCGTCCAATTTTATGTTTTATAACAAAAAGGGAAACTTGAAGGAATCAACTAGACGTCCAATAAAGAAGTAAAAATAATGATGCGAATGTAGAAGATATATAAAACGTGAAACACAAAATTGTTAGAAAAAAGATAAGAAATAAAGATGGTACAAAACTGGGTATTTAGGGGAAGAGATTATATAAATTCCTCTATGATATCGTGGATTTTTATATAATATATTGCCTAGTTTCTACCCATTGGCATCACGGATTAGTAACATTTCTTGTCCTGGTCATCCCACTATTTGATACCCAAATCACACTCTATAACATTTACAGACAGTGATTAGGTATATTTAATACATTTTTAACTGCATGCGTCTGAAGGTGTATAATTAGTTATCATCCCTCATATATTGACAGCTAACAATACTATAAGCTAAGAAGTTGTTATGCTATATTAAATTAATGCTTTCAAGATGCTAATCACAAAATACTTACGATTCACATCTGTTTTTACTTTGTGTGGTCATATGTTGCACTCATAAACTAATATAAAACTGATTCCTGGATGATATGCTCGCCTTTTGCTTGGTAGATGAAAACTTCGCTTAAAACAAAAGTGGTATAGTTTATCAGAGATGAAAGGTTTTATGTGTTCATGTCAAGATATCACTATTCACAGGTGAAACAAGGCTAATTAGACTTCCAAGATAACTTAAGCGGTAGACAGAGCTAATTACTTCACTTATTATTATTGATAACACCAAGTATTAAGTTATATCAATTCCGAAGCAACAGTTTGAACTAAAAAGAGGAAAAGATATATCCAAAGCACTTTTAAAGACTACAATCTGTCAGTGGGTCTCTGACACCACACATCACAGTGCTTATCCATTTAAGCTTTTTATTAGATAGATATTCGGATAAAAGTAAGCATAGATTCATAGGAGATTTCTGAAAAAAAAATGTAGAAATCAATAAGCAAAAGAAGTAATTTATATATGCGTATCACTTACATCTGGTTAATGAACGTCCTAACGTGACTCCATGATCTTCATTCTAATTAATGTAGCATAAATGATAAAAGAGACAGTTAGTAGTTAGTTTTATAAATTAATTTTATTCTTACTTAAAAAGATAATAAAACATTTTTCTAGTTTACTTCTTTATATTCATTGCTGTATTTTTTTAAAGATGGTCATTCTGTTCATTTTATTATAGATAAAATATTTTACAAGCTTTCATTTCACTTCTATTAAAATCAATCCCTTTTGGAAAGTTGACTTTTTAATCAATTTCGAAATTCTTTTAATCTATGGGATACTAAAAAAAATTGAACAAAATTAAATGATGAAACTTAAAATCCCAGATTTTTGTTACTATATAAATCAAAGAGTAATTTTATTTGTTTGCCAGTTATTTCCAAGTTCTACAACCTTATGAAAGGTATACTAATAATAAGAGTATTAATTTAGATATATGACCACTTAGACTATTGAAACATATAAGTGAATCGACTTTTGTATATATATTTTTCTTTCAAGAAGACAAGGATTAGATAAAAGTAATAAGGGGTGTTTTTTTTCAGTTGCTTAGAATTTCTAGGAATAATTGTAAATATGTATATTATACTAATTCAGAATAAATAATATCACAAAAATTGTATTTCCTGTTATTTAGTTTATGGCAAGTAAATCAATTCTTACTAAATAACTAGTTACATATTTTTTTAGTTGTATGTTTTACGTGAAATAGAAACTTATAAAGGTATATTGATACATACAAGTATTTTTCTTTATTTAATCTAATACCTGATAATTAAGATGTACTTCTAAATGCTTGAATACATAAGTGACGTGTTTTTTTTCGATGGATTTTAAACAAATAATGGCCTTTACATAAAATACATTTCAAAGGTGGTTTTAGTATGTTTCAACTATTACAAAAACACAAAGAGTAGTTGATTAACATTGAAGTAGTGAGTGTGTATGATTATCTGGTTACAACTCAGTAAGATAGTTCAGTATTATAGATTCTTTTCTACAAAGACATAATTTTAGCTTCAACAACTCAAAACGTTCAGTTTAAAATAAACACATTAACGATTAACTCCGCCTGTAGCTCTTCTAGAGTTACTGCCGGTCCCAAGCCCGGGTAAAGGAGGAGGGTTGGGCATGGGGCTAGCGACCTCATCCCGTAGAAAACTAACTCGCTAAAAAAACGCTAACCAGTAAAAATAATTCAAACCACTTCAACTCTGCCCTGAGAGTTAGAAGGTCCTCATTTAGAAAAACTATGACGCCTCATGGTGAAAGCTGAGTTCCTTCGGAAGCCACAAGGTCGATGCCCCTTTTAACAACCAGAGCAAAAATTTTTATAGGTACATGGAACGTACGAACAATGTGTGAGACCGGGAAGATCAGTCAAATAACAACGGAAATGAGGAGATACAACTTGGCAGTACTGGGAATCAGCGAAACCCATTGGACCCAAGTTGGACAACAAAGACTAAATACGACAGAGATGCTACTATACTCCGGCCACGAAGAGGAAAACGCTCCACACACTCAGGGAGTCGCTCTTATGCCGTCCAAAGTAGCACGAAATTCACTTGTAGGATAGGAATCTCACGGATCCAGAATCATCAAAGCATCATTCAAAACAAAGAAGGAGGGGATCACAATGAATATTATCCAATGTTATGTACCCACCAATGATAACAACAAGGACATTAAAGATCAATTCTGTGAGAGGTTGCAATCAAACACAGCGAAACACCGAAGAAAGGACCTCACCATTCTGATGGGAGATCAAAACGCCAAAGTTGGAAGAGACAACACCGGATATGAAGACATCATGTGACGACATGGACTGAGAGAGAAACGAAAATGGGGAAAGATTCGCAAATCTGTTTGAATTCAAAAAATTGATCATGGGCGGCACAATATTTCTACACAAACATATGCACAAACCTACATGGATCTCACCGGACCACACTACAGAGAACCAGATAGATCATATCTGCATCAACAAAAAATTCCGAAGGACAATGGAAAATGTGAGAACCAGGAGAGGAGCTGACATAGCTTCAGATCACCACCTAGTTGTGGCCAATTTAAAACTGAAGCTAGAGAAGAACTGGACAAACAACACTACAAAGGTTCAATACAGCCTTCCTTCGAGATACTGAAAAACTCAATAAATTCAAGATAGCTCTCAACAACAGGTTCCAAGCCTTACAGGATCTACTGAAAGGAGAAAGTAGTGTAGAGGACAACTGGAAAGATATCAAAGAATTATAAACTTCAACGTGTCAAGACGTTTTGGGCCTCAAGAAGCATCACCATAAGGAATGGATCTCTATAGAAACACTGGACAGGATCAAAGAAAGGAAGAACAAGAAGACAGCAAGTAACAACAGCCGAACACGAGCAGAGAAAGTTCAAGCACAAGCTGAATGCATAGAAGCAAACAAGCAAGTGAAGAAGAGCATTAGAGCCGACAAGAAGAAATACGTGGAAGAACTAGTAATGACGGCGGAAAAAGCTGCAAGGGAAAGAAATATGAAACAGCTTCACGATACAACGAAGAAACTAGCAGGGAAATACGGTAAACCAGAGAGACCGGTCAAAGACAAAGAAGGCGGGCCAATCACCGAAACTCAACAACAGCGGAACAGATGAGTAGATTACTTCGAGAAACTCCTGAATAGGCCGGTTCCAACGAATCCACCAGACGTCGAAGCAGCACACACAGATCTTCCTATAGATGTCAACCCACCAACGACGGAAGAAATCAGAATGGTCATCAGACAAATCAAGAGCGGAAAAGCAGCTGGACCCGACAATATACCAGCCGAAGCACTGAAGCCAGACATCGAAGTAACTACAGACATGCTTTACCTTCTATTCACGAAGGTTTGTGAGGAGGAACAAGTACCGATGGACTGGAAAGAAGGACACCTCATCAAGATTCCAAAGAAAGGAGATCTGAGCAAATGTGAAAACTACAGAGGCATTACACTACAGTCAGTACCAGGAAATGTTTTCAACAGAGTGTTGATGAACCGGATGAAAGATTCACTAGACGCCCAACTTCGAGATCAACAGGCTGAATTCCGTAAGGATCGGTCGTGCACAGACCGAATTGCAACACTACGGATCATCGTCGAACAATCAGTTGAGTGGAACTCATCACTGTACATCAAATTCATTGATTATGAAAAGGCATTCGACAGTGTGGATAGGAGAACGTTATGGAAAGTTCTTCGACACTACGGAGTTCCTGAGAAGATTTTCAACATTATCCGGAACTCATACGACGGACTACAGTGCAAAGTAGTGCATGGAGGACAGCTGACAGATGCATTCCAAGTAAGGACCGGGGTTAGAAAGGGCTGTCTACTCTCTCCCTTTCTCTTTCTTCTGGTGGTCGACTGGATTATGAAGACCTCACCATCGGAGGGAAAACACGGCATACAATAGACAGCTCAGAACCAATTAGACGACTTGGACTTCACAGATGACCTAGCCCTCCTATCGCATACACATGAACAAATGCAGATAAAGACAGACAGTGTAGCAGCAGTCTCTACATCAGTAGGCCTCAACACACACAAGGGGAAAACCAAGGTCCTCAAATTCAAAGCGGAGAACAGCAATCCAAACACTCTTGATGGCGAAACTCTGGAAGATGTAGAATCCTTCACATACCTGTGAAGCATCACCGATGAACAAGGAGGATCAAGTGCAGACGTAAAGGTGAGGATTGGCAAAGCAATGGCCGCATTCCTACAATTGAGGAACATATGGAACTCAAAACAACTTTCAATCAATATCCAAGTGAGAATCTTCAATACCAACGTCAAGGCAGTTCTACTGTACGGAGCTGAAACTTGGAGAACTACAACAACTACCATCAAGAAGGTACAAGCATTTATAAATGGTTGTCTACGCAAGACACTCAACATACATTGGCCGGATACCATCAGCAACAGCCTTCTCTGGGAGAGAACGAACCAGCTTCCAGCTGAAGAGGAAATTAGGAAAATGGATATGACATACATTACGCTGCTTATCAAACTACATCACGATGCAAGCCCTAACTTGGAATCCTGAAGGGAAGCGAAAAAGAGGAAGGCCAAAGAACACATTACGTCGGGAAATAGAAGCAGATATGAAAAGGATGAATAACAACTGGAAGGAGCTGGAAAGGATTCCCCAGGACAGGGTTGGATGGCGAGTGCTGGTGGGCGGCCTATGCTCCTTCACGAGGATTAACAGGCGTAAGTAAGTACACTAACGAATGACATAAAAAATGACACGATATATATATATATAGCACAGTATGACTGATATGAAACAATGGAAAGTGTGAACATCAACTAATTTATTGTTTCTAATGTTTACCAACAACAAACATTAAGTAAATGTTCACAGGAAAAATACCGCGACCAACATTAAATGCTTGATTCCAAAATTTATTCAACGGTAAGATTAATGATTGCAGCATTACGACATGCCAAAACAGATTTAAAAATAACATTAAAACATTGAACAAAGCTCTGATCAACAGATCAATACATAGAATAAATGATAAAATGGCTAAATTGAAGGAAGTGACACACGACCCACATTTACCAAAGAAAACTGATTAAGACTCGGTCCTGAATATAAAACATAAAAATAATTGCAACAAAAACGAACTTTGTGCAAAGTGTAAATAATTTTTAAGGATATTTTACTAAGTTTCTCTTTGTTGAATATCGCTTGACCACTTCACTTCCCTAGACCCGATGCAAATCAGAATACCAATAAGTGGAAACGGAGTTAGTTCCAATAAGTCGAAACAATAAAGATATAATACTAAAAACACTTTAGTTTATACAGAATTATTAGAAATATTAGGACTTCTAGGGTATTCTACATTGCTATATCAGTATTGATTGGTTAAAAAAGATACCAATCAAGATAATTATGAAGCATATAATTGTTAGGATTTGATCCCGCTAAAACATTCAGTTTATTTCCATCTCATATCAATCTATTTGTACAAGATCCACATAAAAATGACAAATGATATAAAATAAGCATCAAACGATGCTGTGAATTCATTAATCCAAATCATCGAAAATTATTGTAGAACGATAGGAGACATCATGATTATCAGTATGTTAGTTAAGCAGATGTTTAATGATAAAAAGGCCCATTGAAAATATGTTGAAAAACATCACTAAGAATATAATAGTGCTTCTTAATTATCAACCAAAGTTGTAAAGCCTAATGAAAGTCAAGCGAAAACGATATGAATTAGGTGGGAAAACAATGAGACCACTTTGTTCTTTTACGAACAGATGGATTGTAACTAGCAATGAAACCTAGGACGCTTGTTTTGTACTGGCCAGCTGAATGTACTTCCATCTAGGTACTGATGGTTACACTGGATTCGAATCCAGTACTTTGGGTCTCAAAAGGCGTAACAGGTTATCTACTGACCGACTGAGTTCAGGTAGCCGCTACCTTGTTTAACGAGAATTAATTTAATTCATCAGCTTTTTCATCTTCACCCTGTTAACATCCTTAGCTCAGTTTTGATCAATCCTTCTTGAAAAATGTTCACCCTGATAAAAACTCAGTGAAGAATATCAACAACTGGGTGATTCAAAGCCTTACTACTAATGATGGAGACTAAACCTCTGTTTAACATTCTAAAACTTTAAATGTCAGTAAATTTAATTATTTTCATTAAAATTTAGATAAAAAAACATGACAGTGTCACATAAAAAAGTCATCCTACCAAAAGATCCTTCGCATATCGTATTGCAGCTTTCCACGATTCATAATCGATGGCTGGGATTTGTACTAAATGAACATTCAACTTTCCAGCAGTTTCACATTCGATCTGAGGTTATCAAAAAGTAGGAATGGAAACTAAATTAAACTCAGTAAAGATGAGTATTAATTCACATTTAACATAAGTCTAAATAATCCCAGTCAGTCAGTAACAACGTGGAACTTCGTACTTACGTACATCAGTTCGAGTTGCCATACCACATTAGCACAGAGATGCAGTGGTCAATTCAAAATCCGTAGTGGTGGAGGTAGCAACAGTATAAGCAGTAATCGGAAGCATTAGGGTTTGAAGATGCTATTCAAGGAGTATAATCCAGTGAAATAAATCTGAGAAAAAACAAGGGATATGAAGAATTCAGAAGGTTAGAATTTGGGAGAACACAAAGAGTGTATGCACCTGCGCCATTGCAAACGATTTTGAGCTATGTCATTCAAGGTCTTTAACCATCGGTTCCTATCGTCTCGCGAATCCCAGCCAGGTAGACTACACTCACCACCATGGCGAAGTCCACTTGTCAGTGACTTCATGGATTTGTGCCACGTTTTAGTCTGGCCGCCCCTACATTTCTTCTAGCCTACTCCTACACCAGAAAACACGTTGGGGCAGTCGGTAGTTGGGCATACGTAACACGTGTCCTAGCCAACTCAACTGATAAATTTTTACTACTTCATCAATTGATTTGCCATCCTTACCTAGTACCCGTTTCCTAACAACTACATTACTTACTCGATGGTCCCAGGATATACGAGCAATATTTCGAAGACACCTATAAATGAATACTAGCAACCTACGAATATCCTTTACTCTTACCAGCCATGTTTCACTCCCATAAAGTGGGATCGAACGAACTGCTGTGCAGTAAACACGTCCTTTGGTTGGTAGATGCCATAAATGACTCAAGTTGGCAAAAGCTAGTCGAGCCTTCTGTATCCGTGCTGAGATTTCGTCACACACCAGACCACAAGGGCTGATGAGACTTCCAAGATAAGTGAAGCGATCGACACGCTCAATTACTTCACTCCCTATCATTAGTTCGGGTGTCAATGCAACCCAATCCTGAAGCAACATTTTGCATTTCGAGGGAGAGAATCGCATCCCGAACATACCTGCATTGTTGCTTAGAGTGGTCAGAAGACTCTGCATTTTGTCAGCGTCTTCACCAAATAAAACTATGTCATCAGCATATTCTAAGTCAACAAGTGAACCTCCCGGTAGAAGTTCAACCCCTGGAAATTTAGATGAGGAAAGTGTTATCTCTAAAAGTACGTCAATGAAAAAGTTAAACAAGAATGGAGAGAGTGGGCAGCCCTGACGAACACCACTTGAGGTAATCAATTCTGATGACAGTTCGCCATAAGCTCTCACTCGACCAGTTGTGTTCGAGTAGAGAGCCTTTATAAGGTTAATAAACTTATTTGGTACTCCTTTCAGTGACAAACACTGCCATTGAACCTCACGATCAACAGAGTCGAATGACGCCTTGAGGTTGAGAAATACTATAATTGTGGGGCGTCTGAATGTGTGTCTGTGTTCTAGAACCTGACGTAGTGTGAATATCTGATTTATACAACCACGTCCAGGTCGAAAACCGGCCTGGTTTTCTCTTATCTGCTCTTCACGAGCTTTGATTAGGCGTCGAAGTATTATTGAAGCTAATATTTTAGACACTATATCAGTCAAACTGATTCCTCTGTGATTGTCACAAGAGGACTTTTGTCCTTCCTTATAGACTGGCACAATCAGTGATTGAGACCAGTCAGATGAGATTACGTTCAGTTCCCAGATTCTACTTAAGACCTCAGTCAATCTCACTGCTAATACTGAACCACCATCCTGAAAAATCTCAGGAGTAAACCTGTCAGGGCCTGCTGCTCTCCCTCGCTTCAGATTTCCGAAAGCTTTTTCAACTTCGTAAAGAGCTTGAGGACTTACATTAACTTGCCGTTCAGGCAGACTGGAGATCGTGGGAAACCGAAGTGTGGCTGAAGGCCAGTTGAACTGATCCCTAAAGTGTTCTGCCCATCGATCCAATCTCCTGGATTGGCAATGTATAATATGTCCATCTTTTTCTGAGTCATGTCAGAATAAGTAAACGATTACACGAGTTTATGTAATTAAGTGACAGGATGGTAGATTCATGTTTGTTAAGCCAATCAGATCGTATTCCGCTAATGAGTGAATATTTATTCTTATTTAAACAAATGTACAAATAAAAATAAACTGTCTCTAGATAAAATCTGCCTCATTGTTTGTCTTCAATTAGTGAATATTAACATTGATTTATCAGTGGACACGGGCAAATCTTATCAAAACTATCCACTATTCAAAAAGATCAGTACAAAGTTATTGTTTCGCAACATAATCTTTGCTCAAGTTCTGATTTAGATCAACGTATGGGTTAGTTTAAGTAAATACAAGAGATCTACACAATTAAAAGATTTTATTCCCTTTACCAGTAGTCCGATTGATACGAGTTGTTAATATGAGTAGCATATATGTGAACAAAATCAGTCAGTAGACTACAAAGAAAGTTCGAATAATCAATTAGATTGAATATAGTGACCAATAAATTTTGACCTAATGACCGAATGACGTCGTACTCGCATAATGAACGAGAACTCAGTTGGGGACAACTAATTTATAATTTAATGCAAAATTACAGAGCTCTTTCGTAAAATGTTTAAACCATACATTAAACATTTCATCTACAAATCTTCCATTAATAGTCCTTTACATCCTTCATGATTCTTCTATTTCTCAATCCCTTCATGTTTTCCTTTCAGTTTGCAAGTACTGACCGGGCCCAACGTTGCTTAACTGCAGTGATCCCCAAATGCCCTAGTACGGCCGAGAGTGGGGAGAGTCCGCTCTCCCTCTCGAAATGCTCTCACACGGCCACGCGTATACAGCCTCTGCCAGGGAAGTCCTACTCACTGCCTTTTCGTGGTGGGGGCGTTGTTTACGAAAATGAGAGGACGCAAAGTGAATGTGCGGCACTTTAACCGGATCACAAACCAATGGTGCACATGGGCTCCAGTATCCTGCGGGAACAAATGGCGTATGAACCAATCGTTGGTCACCGGCTACCATGGGACTGCATCTCTTTACGATGCTCCACTGCCTTGTGGGTTAGACCTTTAGGTCAAAGGCTCGGGGTGTGGCCTCCTAAGATAACCACCTGCTTCGGTTTGGGCACCCGGGCAGTATCACAGCCCACACACAAATGATGAACTCTCTACGTCTATGGAAATTACTTTTCTCGCTTCGAAAAACAATCAACTGATTCAAATTATTATCATTACAATTATTGTCATTATTAATACTATTATTATTATTATTATTATTATTATTATTTTCCACATTATTCACCCTCATTTATACTTATACAGCGGCTCGTCTTTGGTGGAAATTCGACTGTATCTAAACGTTCTCGAGTCACTGTCCGGTTGAAAATTGTATGTTACCACCGAATACGAGGACTGAAGCAGTTTTTCTGAAACCACGTGCACCATTCAAACTGGCTGCCTTCAACGTTCGCACATTTATGCAGGTCGGACAACAGATAGGGCTGACTATGTCTTTGGAAAGTCTTAATATTGATGTTTGTTGTCTATCCGAGACCCGTATTCAAGACTCTGGCGAAGTACTACAAATTCGATCTCCATCTGTCGCTTCGAAAGGCTTGTTTTACGTGCGCTTATCCGGGGACCCTGTGGCATCTTCGTTGGTGTCGCACTAAGCGCTAGAGCTGAGGCAGCACTAATCGATTGGATCCCCATTAACAGTCGGTTATGTGCTGTTAGATTAGAAAGTTCCATCAAAGTGAGAAGAAATCGGCGTGAGAAACGATGTCTTTTCGTCATCTCCGCCTATGCCCCGACAGATTGCAGCCCGGATGCAATCAAGGATGAGTTTTACCACCAGTTATCAGTTCTTCTCCAGAAAGTGAGTTCGACAGATATTGTAGTACTAGCCGGTTACTTGAATGCTCAAGTCGGGCGTCTAGGCACAGAAGAGAGTCGTTTAGGTGGCCGATGGGGACTCGTTGGTCGCAGGACAGATAACGGGGACCGTCTACTGCAACTGTGCACAGACCACAACCTGTTTCTGGCTGGCACTAACTTTCAGCACAGTCATCGCTGACGTGCCACCTGGCGTCCTCCCTCTGCATCTCAAGCCTGGACTCAGACTGATCACATCACGATCAGCTACCGCTGGCGTGGTTGTTTACAAGACTGGCGCTCCTTTTGGAGTACCTATCTGGACTCTGACCATGCTTTGGTCTGCGCCAATCTTACCTTACTTTTCAGTGGAAAAGGAAGTGACCGCCACGCTGGGACTGGTTGGAAAAAGCGGAGAGGTGGTCAGTGTATGACATGGTGTCGTGGTACGAAAGATAGCTGAAAAGTATAAATGAGCATTGGTTGCAATTGCATGACGCCATGAAAATGGCGGGTACAGTCAGTTGTGGGTTCGCGAAACGTCCCGCTTATAAGCACTGGGTTTCTGCAGGTTCCTTACAACTCATTGAAGCCCGTCGGTCTACTCCGGGTGACCGTGAGTTTGACCACAAACGAAGGTTGTTAAGTAGTGGGCAGAATTTTTCGAAGGGCAGTTCAACTGGCCTGCTGCTCCGGCAACATCGGTCAGACTGTCCTGCCCTCCATGGCCGGTGACGACTGATCCACCAAATGAGGAGGAAGTCCGCAAGGAACTCCAACTCTTGAAGCGTTACAAATCACCTGGCCCAGATGACTTACCTCCGGCTCTTTTTAAAGATGGTGGTGACTTTTTGACTAAGGAATTGACGACGTTGTTTACAAAGGTTTGGGAACTAGAGAGTGTACCAACGTCATGGAATGAGTCGATAGTTGTCCCTATCTTTAAAAAGGGTTCACGTCGTTCCTGTAACAACTATCGGGGGATAAGTCTACTTCCGATTGCGTCCAAGCTATTGGCTTCCGTCATACTTCGTAGGTTGTTCAAAACCCGAGAAAGATTGACTCGCGAGGAGCAGGCTGGGTTTCGTTCTGGTCGAGGATGTATTGATCATATCTTCACCCTCCGCCAAATGTTAGAACACCGCCATACTTATCAAAGGCCAACAATCGTAGTGTTTCTTGACATCAGGGCTGCCTTCGATTCGTTGGACAGGACTGTTCTCTGGGATTGTCTATTGAAGAAGGGTGTGCCTGAGAAGTTTATTAACATCCTAAAAGCCCTATAAAAAACACCTCAGGCAGAGTGAGGGCATACAACCACCTCTCTCCATTGTTCCATTCGAGCAGTGGGGTTAGGCAGGGTTGCCCAATCTCACCATTCCTCTTCAACTTTGCCATCGATGACATTCTGGAAACAGCTCTGATGAATGTAAGTAATGGTGGTGTGGATCTGTTGCCTGGAGAAAGACTTCTCGACCTTGAGTATGCGGACGATATTGTCTTACTGTGCGATAATGCCCAAGGCATGCAATCCGCACTTAATCAGTTGGCAATCAGTGTCCGTAGGTATGGTATGTGCTTTGCACCTTCGAAGTGCAAAGTACTTCTACAAGACTGGCAGGATTCCAATCCTGTACTCACCCTGGATGGTGAGCAGATAGACGTAGTCGAGAAGTTCGTGTATCTGGGTAGCTGCATAAGTGCTGGTGGGGGTGTGAGTGATGAGATCAATGCACGAATAGTGAAAGCCAGAGCGGCTTATGCCAATCTGGGCCACCTTTGGCGCCTTCGTGATGTTAGTCTGGCTGTAAAAGGTCGGATCTACAACGCGTCGGTGAGAGCAGTTTTGCTCTATGCTTGTGAAACCTGGCCTCTCCGAGTTGAGGACGTTAGACGACTCTCTGTGTTCGATCATCGCTGTCTCCGAAGGATTGCTGACATTCAGTGGCAACACCATGTCAGTAATGCAGAGGTTCGGCATCGTGTGTTCGGGCACAGAGATGATAATCAATTGGTGTCACCATCTTGAAACACCGACTTCGGTGGCTTGGACATGTTCTACGAATGTCGTCCCAGAGAATTCCACGTCGTGCATTATTTGCCGACTCTGGGACTGGTTGGAAAAAGCGGAGAGGTGGTCAGTGCATGACATGGTGTCGTGGTATGAAAGAAAGCTGCAAAGGACTGGCTTGTGTTGGTCCTTCACGACTCCCTGGTTGGGGTCCGAGAGATGGTGCTACACAGTGGCTAGAGACGTTATCAGATATGGCTCAGAATAGAAGCCAGTGGCGATCCTGCTGTAACCTTCTTTTACTTTCTTCATAAAAAGTGGTTGTGTCTCCCTTACCTGAAAGATTTCTTCTGATTGTACCTTTCCGTTCCCTCGTTATTACTATTGTTATTACTACACTACCTTACACCAACCTCTTCGTTATTGTTCTTTTTTTTTCACGCTCCTTACCCTTTTTTTCTTTCTCTTCGAATTCTCATTGTTTTGTGTGGCGCATATACATTGGCGCTCTCTTGTACCAATATTTATTTGTTCAAATAAATAAATAAATTCCTTTCAGTTTTCTTCAGTTCAATCTTCTCAACCTTCTTTTGAAAGGCATTCAACTTCCGATTGGTGTCACATACTACTTATGTCTGTCAAAATAAGTGCAAACACCATACCCAAATGTCACAAGTTACATTTTGCATAAAAATAGTTATTGATCATTCCTGATAAGTAACGAGCAAATGCCAAACTGATTTGCATTACTGTTGAAAAAAGTGTACGAATCTACACAAACTACCAATGTAAATAATTTTAAAATACTTATTCAATACTAAATGATAACCTGAGAGTTACTTCATTATACTTCAAGGAAGGTGACGAACAAGAGATGATATTCAAACTGATTCAGTGGATTTTAAGGAAAGTAAAAGGTTAATATAGTTGAGTAGTAAAACAAAAATATTCACAACTGACTCCTAGAAACATTTGTTACTTGAGCACTTTTGGCACCACGTGGTAAACTGAATCAAATAGTGTTTGTTAAACTTGGGAGCTAATGACTAAAAGTTAAATTCTTAAAAACTATTCATCATGGCTCCAGATAAAGAGAATTATCCTGACAGTCATTACAATGTAGTATGAGAGGTAAGTTAGAGAGAATAGAAGAGAATAAAAAAGAATACGTTAAGATGTCATTTATCTGTTTTGCAATCACAATCTAGTTGATTTTTTAAAAAATACTTATGGTCTGAAAAGGGTCAGAGATTAACCTTCTACATTCGATTGAGACGTATGTGGAAAACACAAAACAGAGATAAACAAATCAATAATTATGATCTGATTCTCATGTCATACAGCAGGTCTGTCTAAACCCCATTCACTTTAACAACCAAGTCATTTCGATAAAATCTTTTAATTGTTTGAGAAAGGCATACATTTTACTTTAGAATAGAATTAAAGTGAATGCATCCTATCTTATTCTTTCATAGTTTTTCACATTTTCAAATAGAATAATCCTTGCAAGTTACATCCCCTAAGTAACTGCATACTATATCAAATCACTTGATATTGTTTTACTTGAATTTTCCCATTGATGTTTTTAGGACTGAAATTGATCAGTCTCTTATAGGCATATGTGCATACTGTGCGTATGCCTCGATATTGCCTTAATTTACAAGCATTATAAGCAAAGATGGATAGTGGCTAGCAGTGGAATCCAGGACGCGCGTTCCGTCCTGTTTGGGACTCGTCAGCTGGATGTACCTGCATCTCAGAGTTGATGTTCACTCTGGGACTCGAACTCAGTACCGTTCGCTTCGAACGCCATCGCGTTATCCACTTAGCTACTGAGTCCTGATAGCCACTTGCTTGTGCAATGGGTTGAAGTTTAATTCATTTGATGTTGTTTTACTTGAATCTTCCCATTGATGTTTTAGGGCTGAAATTGATCAGTCTCTTATTGGCATATGTGCATAGGTACATCCAAGTGACGAGTCCCAAACAGGACGAAACGCGCGTCCTGGATTCCACTACTAGCCACTATCCATCTTTGCTTATATATCAAATCAGTTTTTTTTATTGAAATAGAATGTTACGAAGAATCAATCAGTCACTGAATATATATATATATATATATATATATATATATATATATATAATTGTTTCATGATCAACGAAACCAAAGAAAAGAACAAAATTATATCATTGTAATTTTTACTAACTTTGAGCACATTCTTTCTTGATGTTTGTTCACCGTTTGCTTCGCTAACTTTTACCTCTCTAATGTTGAATTGAACATCAGGTTTACCAAGTGGTTGATGTATTTTCTAATCAATATTTTTTAAACAAATAAATAAATATTATAAAAATCATTACAAAAGCTGATTTACTCCCTAATTCTTTAGTCAATTTTGATGATGATTAAGTTTTAAGTAAATATGATAGAAAATTATTGTTTTTTCGTGTTCAACAGCAAATTGTAAACCTAATGTAATATATGTTTCAAATCGAAGTCGATTAATCCTTGAATTACTAAGTCTAGATAAAAACAATAGCTTGTACAATCAGTATGATTTTAATTTAAAAGTGTTTGTGCCCATCAGTTGTATAATGTTATGGACTGTAAGTGATCAATCTCTTTGGGCATATATACACCCTGTGCAGATTGCCTCAATATTGCCATTTAGTCATAAATGTTTTAGTTAAATAAATTCAATATAAACAAGAAATAATACTTTTATCATCATATGTAAATGATAGTTGACGACCACTATCTTTCATGAAGTAGGTACCGATCTGCAGATTTTAAACTCTTGGATTTTCATTTGGAAGAAATAAGAAAACATAAATTTTATATAGGAGTTTTATCATTAGCTTATGTAAGTATCTTAAAACATGATAACTAAGAGGTGATATTAAATTATTTTTTGTATATCTACTATAAAATAAATCAGAATCGGTAAAAATTTAGATGAGCTAATTGGATTACGAATAAAAGACAGACAAGTGATTGTTTATTACGTCATAATTTCTCAACAACATAGAATAAATTAATGTTATAGACATTGAAACAGGATACCTACACTATGCAGTGACTGTTACGTTACAAACTTGGTTTATAAAATTGAGTCAAAAGTTGGGGTTTAGAGTGTATGAAAATTTATTACATTCTAACTACGAATAGTGTTCTTAAGCCAGTATAATTAAGAAGGCACAGTCATCACCTCCCCCCCATAACCTAGTTTCAAGATAAGCCGAGGAATGTTTACGTTCATACATCATTTTATTTATTTAAAAAACTGCATCAATCCTGCTGAGTTGGTTTCTGACATTATTACTGAAGTGATGCAGGGATTATTCAGTTGATCGTAAACTAACATTAAATGTAACGCTGACATGACATTTTGTCCTCTACCAAGGGATGAATGTACTGAACAATGGTTCCCTCTGTACATCTTTGTACATGTGATCTACGGTTGTTTGTGTGGAGGGTATTTCTAGTTATGCAGTGGTACTTCAATAATTATGTTTATTCGATAAATCTGTATTTTATTCTATAGTTTATAGTACTGTAAATGTAATACTAGATATATACTCATTTTCAGCAACAACCTACTGTAGGAGTGAACAAACCAGACCCCAGTGGAGGAAGAAAGCAGGAAGAAGCGCTGGAAATGGAAGGACACACGTTGAGGAAAGCACCCAATTGCATCACAAGGCAAGCCCTCACTTGAAATCCTCAGGGCCAAAGGAGGAAAGGAAGACCAAAGAAGACATTACGCCAAAAAATGACGACAGACATGAGAAGAATGAACAATTGGATAGAACTAGAAAGCAAGGCCCAGAACAGAGTGGGTTGGAGGTAAACATATGTTGAGACGTGAGATGTGATACTGACTCTGGGTACGAAAGAAGGAGCAGTGACCAGGTCAAGAAATGACACTATCCCATTATTTCATTGGTTGTTGGCCTGACTCATATAAGTCAATGCAGACTTCCTGGATAAAGTCCTCATGATTAATGGGACCATTATTATATCAGATATTTTTCTATATTGTCAATTCATTAATTGTAATTTATTGTGTTGGAACTTCCATTGTACAAAAATTAACTAAGAGCATTAAGTCTTCTTCAGCCTAGTATTCTTGGATACTTCACTCGACAGGTTGCTAAATCAAATCATAACTTGGATAGAAACACAAATATATTCCAAAGCAAACAGTAAGTTAATAAGGAAAGAGAATGGTAATGTATATAGAAACTTTACACATGAAAATTCAATACTCTTCTCAACTTATCCACTAACACTGACTATTTGAAAATGAACTATTTAGTGTGCTCAAACATAAATGTAATTTAATCAAATATTCATTCAGCTCATAAATGGTTAATAATACTACATCAAAAATATTTATAAAGGAAGATTACTATGATTATTTAGTTCACAACAAATGATTTTATTATCAGTTTTAATTTCCTATGCAAGAAAATATTCTAAGCTAGTACATGATATTGATATAAAATTCCAAAATCAATTAAATACACTCTAAGAATGAAAATTGACAGATTTTTCAGAAAAAATAACTTGAATATAATTTAAGCACCATTTGAAAATTGACTTACAGGTAACGAAGGCTTATTATCTTTGTATAGAAAAAGTAATGGACCACTAAGATGTAATACACCTGGTATCCATTTTTTTGATATACGTTTGCCATTTTCAATTAACATTGTACGAATAACTGCACCACGTCGTTCAAAGTGCTAAAATTTACAATAAAAATCATTTGTGTTTTTCTTTTTATCAAATTGTTGAATATAATTTTTAAAAAAAGGAATTAAATGTTTAACATCAATCATTCATTGGCAAACTATAGGTTTTGTGTACTTGCAGAAGAAAAAAGTTAGATTGTCAAAATTTGTAAAACTCTAAATAATGATACGCATTTGTAACCAACACTAAGAGATTTTTTTATTTTCCTGGCCTGCACCAACACCTGAACTAAGGATAATGATTGAAGTAGTCGAACGAGTCGACAACTTTACTTATTTTAGAATTCTGATCAACCCTAATGGGTTGGTGTCTGATGAAATCTCTACACGGATTCAGAAAACTTGCTTGGCTTTTGCCAATTTATGTCACCTATGGCAAAGGCAAGATATCCGACTATCAATTAACGTACGAGTATACTCGGCGAGTCCTGAAGCAACAACTTGTATTTCGAGGGAGAGAAACGCATCGCAAACACCCTGGTATTGTTGCTCAGTGCTACCAAAAGACTGCATATTATTAGCCTCTTCACTAAACAGGACCATATCATTTGCGTATTCTAAGTCGATAAGTGGACCTCCTGGTAGGATATCAATGCCCGAAAATTCAGTTGACGAGAACTTTAATTCCAGCAGTATGTCTATGATGAAGCTGAACGAAAATGGAGGTGGTGAACAACTTTGGAGGACATCACTTGAGGTTGCAAAAGCAGATGACAGTTTGCCATAAACTCTGACTCGACTAGTAGTGTTCGAGTGAAGAGCCCTCACAAAGGTTATGTATTCCTAATGTACGCCTTTCAATGATAGACACTGCCACAGAACCTCTCGGTCTACATTCAAGTCAAGAAAGACTATCATTGTCGGACGCCAATGATGGATATGTGGTCGATGCAGCCACGACCAGGTTTGAAACCAGCCTGATTTTCTCGTGTTTACAGTTCACGAGTCTTTGTTAGGCGCCCGATCATTGTTGAGACTAGTATTTTGGATGCTACGTTAGTGAAACTAATACTTCATTGTTGTCACATGATGATTTTGACCCCTTCTTATATATTGGGACAATCAATGATTGTGACCAGTCAGATGCGATAACGTCCAACTCCCAGATTTTGTCTAAAATATTAGTCAACGTGGAATCTGCGTTCGGCTTTCTCGTCACTCAGTTGAATTCTAGTGGGTCTTCTTAATGTGGTTTTTCTGCATCCAGAGAGGTGAAAGCAAATGCGTGCTTGTGTTAGAGCATGATCGAAGTCCGAACAGGTATTCCAGAACGAGCGACATTCTTCTATCGAGCCTCTCCAACGATAACTGATGGCAATATGTTCTATTTGAGTCCATCGTTGGTTTGGCGAAGGGGGTCACCATTCAGACGATGTCTCTCCTTATGCTTAAAATTTGTGTTTGCTAAAAATAAACGATTGTCTGAGCACAGTTGCAGCAGACGATCACCATTATCTGTTCGTTGTGCCGGAATACTAAAATACCCACCTAAATGTCTTTCTGTTTGGTTTAAACTACCTATCTGGCCATTAAAGTCACCTCAGTCAGTCAGTCAGCTACAACGTAGGACCAGGCACATGTATGCATCGGCCCAGGTTGCCATACCTCATTAGCACAGCAAGATGAACACCGGATTCATAGGAGTGGTTAGGTCAAAGGTGGTAATATATAGGAGAAAGATTGCAATAAGGATATAGTATAGGAAGAAAGAATTAGTTCGTAGAAAGAAAGATGTGAAGTGATTTTAATCTCTTAGTTTAAGGGAAGACAGAGAGTGTATACACCGACGCCATTGTGATCGATTCTGAGCCATGTCACCAAGAGTCTCCAACCATTGGTTACGAAAGTCACGCGGACCCCAACCAAGTAGTCTGCATCTACCAACATGGCTCAGACTAGAAGTTAGTGACTTCAGGCACTGATGCCACGTTTTGGTTTGGCCGCCCCTAACTTTCTTCCAACCATCCCCTACACCGGTTAGCATTGCACGTCGTGGTAATCGGTGTTCAGGCATACGTAATACGTGGCCCAACCATCTCAGTCGATGAAGATTCATAACCTCATCAACTGATTTACCATCATTCCCTAATACCCTGCGTCTAACCTCACTATTACTTACCCGGTGATCCCAGCAGATGCCAGCAATATTTCTAAGGCATCTGTGGTCAAATACTAGTAGCTTACGGGTGTCTTCTACTCTTAAGGGCCATGTTTCGCTGCCGTAAATTAAAACAGAACGAACAGCCGCGCAGTATACTCGTCCTTTTATTGATAGACGGATATCTCGCCTCCGCCAAAGGTGACGTAAGTTGGCAAAAGCCAAACGAGCTTTACGAATCCGTGCTGAGATTTCGTCAGACACCAACCCATTAGGGCTGATCAGACTTCCAAGATAAGTGAAGTTGTCAACACGTTCGACTACTTCACTCCCTATCCTTAGTTCAGGTGTTGACGCAGACCAGTCCTGAAGCAACAACTTGCATTTAGAGGGAGAGAAGCGCATCCCAAACATTCTGGCATTGTTGCTTAGTGCTACCAGAAGACTCTGCATTTTGTCAGCGTCTTCACCAAACAGGACTATGTCATCTGCATATTCTAAGTCGATAAGTGGACCTCCTGGAAGGAGATCAATACCCGAGAATTCAGTCGACGAGAGTGTTATTTCCATCAATAGGTCTATGATGAAGTTAAACAAAAATGGAGAAAGTGGGCAGCCTTGACGGACACCACTTGAGGTTGCAAAAGTAGATGACAGTTCGCCATAAGCCCTGACTCGACTAGTAGTGTTCGAGTAAAGAGCCTTCACAAGGTTTATGTACTTCTGAGGTACGCCTTTCAATGACAGACACTGCCACAGAGTCTCGCGGTCTACAGAGTCAAATGCTGCTTTTAAGTCAAGAAAGACCACCATCGTCGGACGCCGATAGGTATGCCTGTGTTCTAGAACCTGACGAATGGTGAATATGTGGTCGATGCAGCCACGACCAGGTCTAAAGCCAGCTTGGTTCTCTCGTGTTTGTAGTTCACGAGTCTTAGTTAGGCGTTTGATAATTATCGAGGCCAGTATTTTAGATACTATGTTTGTTAAACTAATCCCTCTGTGGTTGTCACAGGATGATTTTGACCCTTTCTTATATATTGGGACGATAAGTGATTGCGACCAGTCAGATGGGATAACGTCTAATTCCCAGATCTTAGCTAAAATATTAGTCAACCTAATCGCTAAAATTGGACCACCATCCTTAAAGACCTCTGGAGCCAATCCATCTGGACCAGCTGCCCTTCCTCGTTTCAGATTAACTATAGCCTTCTCAACTTCAGCAAGAGTTGGGGGAATTTAAAGTCACCTGCTACAAGTACTATGTCTGGACGTTTAGCTTTCTGAAGAAGTTAAGATAGCTTTCTGTAAAATTCATCTTTCACTTCATCTGAGCTGCAGTCGGTGGGAACGCAGGCAGAAACGGCAAAAGGGCAACGACGAGTGTCCCTATCCTTCCGAGTTCTTACGGAGCCGTTTAGCCGAACAGCACATAAACGACTGTTAACAGAGATCCATGTTAATAGTGGTTGTTCTGCCCTTGTACTCAGTGCTATGCCTACACCTGCCACTGCACAAGGACTAGCCATCAGGTCGTCAGATACATGGAGGGTGTATGTCGTCGGTTCCCTGTTTTGGCTGGGCGAAGTCAATTGAATAACCACACTAGGATCTTGTATGTGTGTTTTGAAGACACAGCATACATCAATGGTACGAGATTCTAGGGTTTTAGCTAAAGAGGCCTGCTGGCCGATTTTACATAAAGTGCGTACGTTGAAGGCTCTGATGTGTAATTTGTGGCGAGGTTTCAATAGACTTGGGACAGAATTTCACACATCAACCCAGTTAAAGCGCCGGACATTTGCTTTTTATCCTCTTAATTTCATAAACAACACCCTGCTTCTAGGAGGCAATGATCAGAACTTCCCTGGCACTAGCTATATACGTGTGACCATATGAGAGCATTTTGAGAGAGAGAGAAAGGACTCTCCCCACCTCCGGCCGTACCGGAGCATTAAGGGACCTAAGGATAGTTTTATGTACCCGACACTGGGTTACACAGTTTATATGAAGGGCAGTGATACTACCAGCAATCCGAACTGAAATAATACGAGTAAAATCTGAATCAGTGATAAAATAGTTAAACTTAAAAGGGTGAAGCTGAAATAATTATTAGCTTATCTAAACCATGAAATTTTTTTGGAAAATATCAAGTAAACGATTCACCGTAAAGAGAACTTTAGCACTCTTATTTTTGAGTTTTTAACTATACCATATTCAAAGCCAATTCTCACTAAGATATATTTAACAGAGTTAACTATCAGTCAGTAACAAATAACTTTGGTTTCTTTAATTCTCTACTCCTACTTGCTTATGATTTTGACTATTTCAAATTTCTTCTCAGGTACCATACATTTTCTAACGTCATATTACCCACACATGTTTTGCGGAATCGATATAAAAGGTTAGTATTTCTACTGTATCAAATAACTAAATGTATTATAAAGTTTAGAGCGTAGAGTTGAATTATCGAACAGGATGTGTTTTTCTACAACCAATTGCTTAATTCTAATAAACACTAAACAAGGGAATGAGATACCTTTGTCTGAGTTTTGGATTATCTTCAAAAGGTACAGTCTTTTAGCTTACAGATGGGGACCAAAAGAATTTGATATTCGATAAAAGTGATTATTTTACAACTATAGACAGCATAATGCTTAGAAGCCTATATAAAACTTGTATTTTTCAACAGTTTCATTTGCATATATCCACCATTTCTGACTAATTAATAGCTATTGTTGCGGCCAGTTTAATCTAATATGCAGAAATATGTAAAGTATATTTGTAAACAAACTGTAGTGATCATTAAGAAATAAAAAATAAAGTATAAATGACAATTACATCCTAATCACTAGCTACACGTATCACAATTTCAGTACAGTTTAAAAGTAAGTAATTAGCATGATTTTAGAGAATCAATTTGAAAACGAACATATAGCTAGAAAACTTTTTGTGTACCGTAAGTTTATTTTCACTTGGTCCACTGATATGTTCTTTGCTTAGATTCTTCATCTGAAAACGTCCACCTGCTCCTTGATCTTGATCATCAAGACTGACTAAACTGAAAGGTCGATTGATAACTTGTGTTGAACAAACTTCAGAAGGTATATGTGAACTTCGATGAGACTGTAAAACAAAACAAAAGAAATGTTTGCATATGCAGTTATTAGTTTCAAATTCAGTATTTCGAACGAGATATAAGTATAGATTCAAAGTCATGTTTTTACATTTTCAACAACTTGTATCTACCTCTGAGTATACAGAATCCTTGATAAGGCTGACGAGATAAATAATTTTAGTGTCCACTAATCAAGCGTTTGAAATCTCTACTGTTAACTAAACACTAAAACACCTTAAACCCTGATATTGAAATAATTTTTAAAAAATAACGATTAATTTGTAATAAACGATTTATTCTCTTTTATTTTTATAAATAATAAAAGATAATTTTGTGAGTGGCATGAACTCTAAAACAATGTACACTTCCTGTTTGAATCCTTGGTTTTTGCAGAGTTCATTCTGAGCAATTAGAGTACAATGCATTAAGTTTATGAGGGCAATAAATGAAAATAAGATGTGATGAACATTCCCTACTGAAATTATTGATGCCTTTACACAACATAAATGACTAGTGAGAGCATAATAAACATAAAGGTACCATACTCGATTTATATGATAGGAGCAAAGTAACTAAAAATGCTAATAGCACTTAAAATACACTTGGTGTTGTTTTACTTGTATATTCCCATTGTTATTTAGGACTCCAGTTGGTCAGTTTCATGTTGGCATATTTTTAAGCAAATATGGATAGTGACTTAAGGCTATATCGAGACAATCCGCACAGGATCCACATATGCCAACATGAGACTGACCAGTTGCAGTCCTAAATAACAATGGGAATATACAAGTAAAACAACACCAAGTAAATTTAAACTTCACCTCATTGCACAAGCAGGTGGTTATCAGGACTCAGTAGCTAAGTGGATAACGCGATGGCATTTGAAGCGAACGGTACTGGGTCTGAGTCCAGGAGTGGACATCAACTCTGGGATGCAATCATGAATAGCAGGTATATCCAGCCGACGAGTTCCATATAGGACGAAACGCGCATCCTCCATTTCACTGCTAACCAGTTTCCATCTTTGCTTAAAAATCTTGTGGGCACTTACTTTTTCTTAATTCACTGAGTGCATAAAATGAGTGGGATAATCTTAGCAAACGATAATTGTCTTTCAAGTAATTATATTTCAGTCACAAGAAAATTGTGAAGTAGGGACATCACGTAACTGATTACAATTAACTAAAAAAGTAGTAGCAGATGTTGAATCATTTTTACAGAAGGTACTAATGCATGAATAAAAAGCGGAACTTAATTTATACAAAAAATGAACTAAAAACCAACTCATACCACTTTAGATTGACTCATTGTTCTCCGATTAACTTTACTGATACTTGACATTCTAGATACAGATGGATACTGATCAACATAAGAACCATTATTTTCATCTTCAAATACTGAACAGTCAAAAGCTTCCTTGGAAGCATTCGGTTCATTAATATCTAGATAATTATTCAATGAGTCGGACGAATGTGGCGCGTCTGTAGGTGATGTTTCTAGATCTTCAAGTGCCCATACGGAATGACGAGTGTTTAGTTCATAATAATATGTTTTTCCATATTGATCAGTTGCTGGAACCCACTAGAAATTTCGATAGGAAAAAGGGCAAGAAGAAAACTTTAAACTTAAATCTTAGGCAAACAATAATTGTTTACTTTTACAACTAGTCATCATAAAATTGTCGCATCATGAAGTTACTTGTGTCAACTATCAAGTATGTATAAGAAAATTTATCGCTTCGTTTTAATACTATAATTTTTTTAAAATTAAATTTGCAGAAATGTCTATTTATCACAGCTACAAATTACTTAACAGGAAACTGTTGTAACGCGTAGTGACTGCAGGTTATGCTAGACAGCGTTTATATCGATCGATTACAGTAGACACGGAAAACACGTATGGACGACCTTGTGCCCTGATTGGTCCCGCTTCGCAGTCTGTCCCAGCCAGTTGAGTGAAGAACGCAAGTCACAGCCTGAGTTATGAATCATTGTATTTCAAACATACTCTATTTATATACCAAGCAAACAACCCACATCGTACCATAAAATAGGAAACAACATTTGTACAATATTTAAAGAGTGAAATAAACATCGACCAATAAGAAATGTACATTTAAGGTTCAAGGACACCATTGAACTTAACATGGTAATTATTGGTCTCTTTTTCCGACTATCCCAACAGAAACACTTAAAATTAATCAGAAAACGGGGTTTGTGTATAGCTCGTTTATTGCATTAATATCCATCATAAACAAACGTGAAATTTCTATTATTTCTAAGTATAATGAATTTCTTAAAAACACTTAGCTAAAATTCTGACATGGTACTACTTAATTAAAACAGAAAAAACTAAGATCTCATTCACTTATGCATATATCTGACACACAATACTGATAACTTCCATTCCAAGTGAGATATTCAATTAAGCAGCACCAAATTTATCTGTTCTTAGAAATATAAAAACTGTAGAGGGAACTAAAAAGCAACATCGGATTTGTTATTGTCAAACTGTTTACCTATGAAGCAACTAGCAAACTATATGTTACGATGAGCATTGCAACAGTTCTCTGAAAAACCTCAAGTAACCTGTTCAGCATAAAAACCCTCATCAATCTCATACAAGAAAGTAAACAGTAAAATATCTCCAAACTACACTTCTTATCACTATTCGAATATAATTCAAAGTGATGTGACTGAAATCGCTAATTCATAAGGGATATTATGTACTTCGAAATAAAAAGGTCAATATTCGAGAAGGTTCAAGTTAAGACGATGGTAATGAAATTCCCAACACAAAAAAAACATAGTAAATAATATTTGTTTACCGAACACTATTAACACTATTTACTAATTAAGTACCCTTTCATTGAAAAATAACATTTCAGTTTGTTGGTCTAAGCTATTAAATTCACAGTAAACACATTACTGAAATATTTTACCAATATAAAATTAAGAGAAAACGTGAGTACAAACAGTTGTCAATCAATAATTTCTAACTGATTATTTAAGTGTAATGACTATCACAATCAACCTATAACTTTTATTTATTTTAAGCTACTAATGGTATATGATCATAGAGTAACTAAAATGAGCGGAAAAACCAAAGTAAAAAGACATGGATTCCCAGTTTTAATAAAAAATAAAAACAATCATAGTTATTATTATTAACCTTAAACTGACTTTCTCATTAGTTGCTTCGTTAATGTACATCTCTTGACCATTGTTTACACAATGACGCCAACGGACTCCATTCGCCTGATTATTTGATAAGATATCGGAAGGTGAAATATTCGAATAAAAATAAATAATAAATAAAAAAAATTGAGTCTATAAAACGACTATAATAGAATCTTTATTAATCATTAAAAAAAATTGATACTTATAACTTATTTGTTTCATTAAAGACTAATTTTGTTATAGTTACAGTTAGACTTTGTACATATATCTTTGAAATAGGAGAATAAGTAATACAGTTGAATTGTTTGTTCTCGGAAAAAAAAATAAAGGAAAAAAATTAATGTTTCGTATATCTATCTAATGAATAAGTGTACAACATTTTCTTGATCAAATAATAATAATTCTTTAAAGTCGATTTTATTCAAACTATAACTATTTTTTTGGTGATACACAATTAAGGTTATTCGTAAATTAACAGTAGATACAATCAAAAAACCTGGAAAGTATAAACAGAATACATTAATGATGAAATATTTTACTGGATATAAACAGGTTTACAATACTTTAGGGATATATATATAATAGGTTCATTTATTATGATCCGAGATATTGTCAAACTACTGAAAATCTAATTTAGTTAACACCACATAACATAACTCTTAGTAATAGGCAATCCAAAATCTGGTAATCACTTTAAAAGTCAGGATTGAACTTTCCTTAAATTCCAACAGTACAAAAATCTACCCTGGTGGCCGAAAAATATCTATACAAATGTATTGCTTGATGTTACAAAATATTGTAACGAAACATAAAACTAAGGGAAAAAGAAAAAAACTGAGTAAACAAACGACAATACATAATATATCTATGTCTTTTTGATAAGCGACAACTACAACAGGAATTACATTCAGTATTTCTCTTGAATCACTCAACATCATCTGAAGTTGAGATGCTTCATTTAATGACCACATTGTGGACTGAACCCGTAAAATTCGGACAGTACTAATGAAGAAACATCATCTAATTAATTAAACAATAATAGTAATGACTTTATTCTATATTATATGTCTAGTACAATACTAAATTCTCAGTATTCAATATTTCATTAAGTCTCTCTTACTCTTCTTATATCACAAAATATGTATCTGCATGCACGTATATGCATGAAATAAGCAAATAAATTATCTAAAATTGAATAAAATATTTTCAAAGAAAATAGAAATTTGTACAACTGTGAAATAACAAGATGTTCAAAAATACAAGTTTTTGACTAAGCTAATTCAACTTGGTGACTAATTACAACCGACCTAATCCTCTAAGAGGTCAACTGCTGTACGAGCATTACAATGATTATTTGTGACTGTGACAAATAAAATTCATTGCCGACTGGTTTAATCAGGTCACGTTTTATTCGAGATATATCATAACATATCCAAAGTTAATATTCAATACCATCTGCAGTAGGATTAACGTGTAAAACGAGATAAGGGTAACATGTTCAGTAGACTGGGTTAACCTGTAAATTGAGGTTTACTGAAAAAAGCGTGATCTATACTCCTTAGTGATAAAACATTTGTTTTCTACTGCCACCGAAGTACTTGATCCTAAGCAATACCTACTCAAACTCATCATGTGTAGTATTTTTTAAATACTTATCTCCCTAGAGCTTGTCAGAACATTGGAGACCTTATCAACAGTAATATCGACCCGTTTATGCACTACCTCCTTTTCGTAATAGAAAGACAGTGTCGTACAAGATGCCATCACACTTCGGTGCAGCCAGAAAAACGAATTCACTCTGTAAACTGAAATTATTGGTTATTTTTTACTGTATCACTTCTTAACTGAAGTTATTGATATACTGAAATTTCAACAAAGAAACGTTTTAGTTAAAGTGGTGGTCAAGCCTAATAATTATATCAAAGAAGTAAACATGATCAACAAGTGAATTTGATGACTGAGCAAAATATTCAATTAAAAGATCGCCGAAACAAATTAGTGTATTCCATAGAATAAATTATATAAAAGGGATAATATCTTTATCCTCTTCTTTCAGATATTTTAGTTGAATGGAGTTGGGGAAACTAGTTATAGATCAAACCTGTATTTATATAAATCATGTTATACTCATCTGAAATGGAACTGATCATGTTCGGTTTACTACTGTGACACCTCAATAGTAAAATGAAATATCCCAGAATAATCGTATGAAATGATAATTGGGGAGATACCTCAATGTAAATAAACAATATAAACAAATCAATGACATGCTTCTAAGCAATTGAGGTACAGCTATTAACGCAGACAGTTTAAATCTTAACAAGCTAACGAATATAATGCTAAGTATGTATTTTTAATATGAAACAGTACGATAGTGGGACAACATAAAGTTTCCAGTAATTAAGAGAGAGAAAAGAAACTTACTTCCATAGGACTATCCTTACTACGTCCAACTGAATATTGTGAACCATCAGAAGATCGCGTGTACTCAGAATCCTGATATGATGAGGCTTATATATTAAATATAGGAGATAAACAAAAACATTATTGAATACATCTGACGATAAAACCACAACTTATCCAATGGAGATAAAACTAAGTCAGCTAAATGACGTTTTGAGACTACACTAGAGGGAAATACTTTAGTGAAAATGACTAAGTATCTCATTTGTCGTGCAAGCTAGCAATAAACTACTTACTAACAAATCTACAATTTTAAATTTCCATAATAGGCATGTTATTCCTAACGGTAAAATTTAACTTATATGTTTGTTATCTTATGAAATAACTACAGTCAACATAATCAATATGCATAGTTAGTTGAATATGAAGGTTAGGATGCTAAATTAAAACCATTTCCATCACATATTTTCACATTTTTAGATTCATGAAGGTGAACTTAGTTTTTTTCTTCAAAACTGTTGACCACCTATTTTAAACTTGTTGCAATCGCTATACTTTGTTACTAGACGGTCTTTGCTTAATATTCTTTACTTCTGTTTCACTAGATAAATTATTTGAACACTTTGACCTTCTAACTCTCCATTGTTTTTCTTCGCTAATACTAAAGTCCAATACCAAAGCTCATTACGATCCGATTATCTTTTGTTTACATCCTAAGTGAATATCGTCAGTTATAATTAAACATTTAGAATGCTTGAAAAATCAGAACTGCACAAGATATAAGATTGTTTGCGACACTATAGCGAGATAAACTTTTGAATACAGTGCTAGTTATGTTCAAATATAATGGTATGCCAGTAACTTCAGACTAATCTCAGCTTTCAAACAATATTAACCGTTGGAATAAACATAAAATATACATTCTAGCTAAACATTAGATACTGCACATCAAAATGCATTTCCATATTTGAATTTTGATCTTTTTAGGTCTGCGGTAATAAATAGTAGTTTCTGATTGAGAAGAGTTAGTAGGTTTCGCAAATACAAATGATACACATTCGCTATAGCATAAACGACCGATTTTTATTCCCAATTAAGAAATAACAACTGACTTTGTTACTTCGGAAGCTTAAAAAAATGGGTTAACCAATAAACATTTGTTGATAAAGTGAAACTCTTAACTTAACCACAATCAAATGAATTAGATTCAGAGTATTTTACTTACCCAGGTTTTTTTCCTTCACTTCCATAACTTTTACATCATCTTCATATAATGATGAAGTACATCTTCCATGAGAATTTTTGTCACTATCATAAGTGGCCTCTTCAATATTTGGGTTGGAAACGGGATCCTACGTTAAGCACAAGAAGTAAACTTAGAAGTTCTATGTATTAATTCCAATAAAATGATATATCATTGGCACAAAAACATTCAGTAAAACAGTAGAAACACTTTAAAGAGATTTTATCAGATGCATCCTGAACATGTCATGAATTATCATTATTTGAACACAAATGTTAGTACAAAGGGGCACCAGATACATATGCGCCACACAATAACAATAAGAGTGTGAAGAGATAAAGAATATAAGGCGCGTATAAGAAGGGAACAGTAACGTACAGAAATTAATGTATGATAGTGAAATAATAATAATTGGAGGGGCGGTTCAGTTAGCACAGGTACAACCAGAAAGAATTCTTCCAGTTAAAGAAGTTACGTCCATCTTTTATGAAGAAAGCAAAGTAAAGTAACAGCAAGATCACCACTGGCTTCCATTATGAGCTATATTTGATAACGTTTCACCTTCTCTAGGACCCTAGAAAAAAAAGTTGTGAAGGACCGACAGGAGCCAGTCCTGTACAGCTTTTTTTCATACCACGACACCATGTCATACACTGACCACCTCTTTGCTTTTTCCAACCAGTCCCAGGGTCAGCAAATAATGCACGACGTGGAATTCAACGGAAAGACATTCGTAGAACATGTCATGAAAGTGATAGATTGAAGCAACTTCATGTCTGCATAAAATGATTATGATTGAGAGGACCTTAATTGGTTGACTTCATAAGTATCAGTATACTAGTACACTATATGCTACATAGGAACATCCAATTAACTGGACTATGTGAAAAGTTCTAACTCCCAACAATTAACAACAAGTTATGAAAACACAATTATAGATCATTGCACAGGGTCCATGCTAACCTTTTAGGTATCGTGATATCCCAATGAGCATAAAATTGTATTTCCGACTTATCGTGACTGAATTTGGATCACTTTTTCATTAGAATATCACAAAAATATATTTTTTATTAACTTTCTACCCAGTGTTCAATTTATTTAAAACTATTAAGTTCAACCGTGGCATTGATATCTAAGATAAAAACTTTTAAACAACTCAAGCTTAAATTAATGGTGGGATTTATCACGCTAGTACTGTTAAGAATAGTTTTTCAGTGGTTTAGGTTCTCAAACTATAACCACTGAGGTACAGGTTTCAGCTGTCTCCTACATACCAAAGCAGGTTGGCAGAGTTGTTAACTCCCTCATAATAGTTATGGCTTGCAGTTTAGTTTATTTATTTATTTTATTTATTTAAACACATAAATGTTGGTAGAAAGGGGCACCGAACACATATGCGCCACACAAGCTACTTGATTTGGGTGTGTGCTATGATACTGCCCGGGTGCCCAAACCAAAGTAAGTAGTTTCCTTAGGGGGTCACACCAGGAGCCGTTGACCCATAGGTCTGATCCACAAGGCAGTAAAGCAACATCTTGAGATGTAGTCCCATGGTAGCCGGTGACCAACGACTGGTTCGTACTACATATGTTTCTTCAGGATCCTGGAGTTCATGTGGACAATTGGTTTGGAATCAAGGTTCCCCAACCCCCCTAGGTGGACTCCGTGTCCACCAACCCAGATATTCGCTTTTTGTCCTCTTAATTTAGTATACAACACTTCCGCCGCGAGAAGGAAATGACTAGGACTTCCCTGGCAGTTGCTGTATACGCGTGGTCATGTGAGAGCATTTCGAGAGAGAGCTGACCCTCCCCACCCTCGGCCGTACCACGGCATTTGGGGACAAAACTGAGGATAAATAAAGATTATTTTCATTATAACATAAATAAAAAATGGTAGATGATCAATTCAATACGGTCAATCGACTATTACAATAATCCGTAGCAAACAATGCTTTTAATTTGCATTGCTAACTGTTAGCGGGACATAGATTGGATTAAAGCATGCACGATTGCGTTGGTGCACGCTAATTGGCTAATTCTTATCTGATAACTTCATATTTTAATGTCCAGAATCCATTAGTCGTTAAAGCACGCAAAAACTAAAATTTATCACAAAGAACCATACTACCTTTATAGGAAAACGCTGTGAAGAAAAAAATTACCTGCATGATTGTGCATGATTTCGACAGCTGACCCGACATTAAACTATGCAAAAAATAGGTATTATTAAGATATTAAATTTCAATGGCTACAAAAATCTAGAATATTATGCGATCAAAAATTTGAGATCCAATGAGAGAAAAGAACGATTTGCTTTTAGAATCACTTTTGATAGCATGTGACTACCGGTCGAGACCCAATAACACACCACACCAATAGTCTTCTTACGGATACATAGCAACCATTTGCCCAAGATTTACATCTTACTGTAACAATGAACGACCGTCATATAAGTCAATAGTAACGACGTTTTATGAACCATCTCGAATGGTTGGCTTAGTTAGCTGTTCAAGTCAATATACATTTTTAAACGAAAATATTATATGATTCTTTGAAATTCTGAATAAAACCCACGACTATATTTATCGATGACTTATATATTGTGTTAGTCTAGATATAAACGTACGGCAAAATTAAGTGATGGTTTAATAACTGTAACAAGGATTAAATTATTATTCCGTAAAGGAGGCTACAACATTATGGTTATAAACTATTGGCAGGAATTTCCGAAAGAAAATCTGTTAGTCAATAGTAAAACAATCATATTACAAAGCTTAGCCTAGGTTTTCTTCAAGGATTTTGAGATCTGTTTATTTGAGATCTCAGCAGCCGTATATCCTTTAAGTTTGGCATGCCTAAAGAGAGGTTTCTTTTGGACTGTCGCTGGGGCAGGTTACAATGTATGCACAACTCAAAAACTTTCCAAACGCGTCTCGGAACATTACACGGTATGGCTCTTAGAAGGGTAATGAAAAGCTATCACTAGCTCAATACAAGAACACCTGACTAACTCCAAAGAAGTCGAGCTTTAAATAAATCTATACAGTCAAAAGAACTGGATCAACAAAAGATCAAATCAAGAACCTGTGTACCCCTAAGGCGTTGATGATCCACTAATTCAGTCCTTAACTTTGTGCGCAAAAATAATACGGCCAACCACTCGCCCTTCCTTGGAGATAATGATATATTTGTGATACCTAGTGAGTGTGAATTTAAATTTCTGACGTTTCGTGACTAAACGAAGGCCACTTCTTCACAGTAAATTAAATCAACCAATAAGTAAGATCTATCTGCTAGTCACTCATAAAATATCTGTAGGATAACTGCCCGACAATTTTATTAGAACTAAATCTCATAATTTTTCAGTTGAAACATTGGCAAAGGAATACAATATATGAACAGCACAGTGAGGATGTAGTAAAGTAATTGAAATGCGGGTCTTAAAAGGAATTTGTAGATAATCAACTACGCTGACTAATTCGTACCTTAACAAGTAGGATAATGTTCAAATTCAGAATTTGTCATTCCTAATTTAGAGATACTTTATTAACAACTTGAGTGCAAATTGCTAACCAATGTTTATTCCACAAAACCTAACACAAACATGTCGACCCAAAATGCTGCAATTTATGTCAGAAAAAAAACGGAAACTAACAGGATGAAAAACAAATGAGTGGAAGTAGTAATATTATTTGAAGCGGAAAACTAGACACGAGAAAAATATGTAGTTCCAAAGAAACGAAGGAGGTTGAGAAATGAAAATACTGGTATGCTACCGGTGTTTAACTCTAGAAGACAGGATGAAATGGTCACTTTGTTACGGTCCAACTTAATCCATATCGCCTGATATCTTTAGCCACAGATAACAATTATCGCACAAACCGCAATTGGAAAATCAGTAACTGTATACGACTCTGACGAGTAGTCAGCGACTTCATGTCTTGTGTTTGGCTATACTCATCACTTAGTAAGTTGTAACACGGTGTTCTGAGTTTCTCGGTAGTAATTCAGTTGAACTATTTGGTAAAAAAATATACTCAGATGAAATATAGGTTTATTGTCTTGGTTTTAAAACGTTCAAACCACTACACCGCTTCTAGGAGTGAGGAGCTTGAAAACTTTGGATACACCTCAAAATGACGAAATTTGGTCATTAAAACTATTAAACATCGGGCTCGAATTTACCTAAACTACGCTTGTAGAGTCGTCACTACGGTATACATGTACTAAATAGTTGTTGTTTGTCGTTCTTTTGAGTGGACTAGTATTGTTAACGATCCTGCGACATAAAGTATGGTTTAAAGCTGAGCACACGAATCTATATTTACCTATTAGTATGGGTTTATAACTATATCGTCATTAACCGACATCTACTCTACTCCGCAAATCTTGAGACTATGAAAAAGTATACTTGGTGCTAATGGGATTAGTTATTGGAGCTTCATGGTAAACTACAGGACTGATTTTAAAAAATCCACCCATTGAAGGACTTAAGGTAGAATGGAAAATTTTGAGAACTGAAATGCCAGAAAATCACTTCGAGCAGGAACTAGTTGATGCATTTATCACATGTGCTATAGTGCAACATGTGAGAGAAGCGACTAGGCACGATCCGCACTCTGAATCATCTTTACTAGATTTTACATTGACCCATTATGAGGATGACGTCACAAACCTTCATTACATGCCGCCCTTCGGTTAGTGATGATGCAGTTCTAATCTTTGACTTCAATATGGTTATCAAAAATGAGCACGCACTAGCCCAACACAGACCTAACGTCTAGAAAGCAAATATAGATGTTATACACTCAGCATTTTAAACGGATCGGAGAATAGAGCCAAAATCCCCAACTGAAGCAGCTTGAGATGTATTTCGAAGTCTGTACGGAAAAGTTACTGCCCTACATATCCCATGAACTACACCAAGGGGTCCGAGTAACTCTTCAGCATGGAGGTTCGCACCCTTCCCCATACGAGAAGAATGTGGGGGACATTTAGGTTACTGGGTACTGATGAGACAAAATCCTAATATCGAGAAGCTATAAATATTTGTGCTTCGACCCTCTGTAAGTCTAGAAGGTTGACAGAAGAAAAAAATTGTTAAAGAATCCATAGAATTCCCAAAATGCTTGTACTCGTACATAAACCAAAGGACTAAAAGATGAGGAAATATTCCAGCACTACGAGAAAACAGTAATAATTCATCATTAGTGGACGATTATAGTAAGACTCTAGCATTATCACACTACTTTAGCAACGTATATACCGCGGAGACACCCTTTCTGACAGTTCATACAAACCCCACACACACACTGGACAATGTGACTACTAAAGAACTCGATGTCTTTGGTCTGCTAAATAAGCTTGATACCGGCAAATCCATGGGACCCGGTGAAATGCATCCTAGATCACTAAAGGAGCAAGCTAACTTCGTTGTGAACCCCCTAAGTATAGGTTTAAAATTATCCGTAACCCAGGGTCGATCACCAAAAGACTGGAAGAAGGCCATAAGAACTCTTGTCTTCAAAACAGATACGAAATATAAATGTGAGAACTATCGACCCGTTAGCCTAGCCAGTGTGATTGTTAAAATTTCAGAAAAGATTATTCGGAAGCTGTTTACGTATCTCGGTTAAGACCGGATTTTTTTCTGAGAAGTAGCACGGTTATTTTTGTCTCACTAACTTATTATTGGCTCGTGAAAGTTTGTGCGCTCATAAAGACCAAATGTTACCTGAAGACGTAGCCTACATTGATTTCAGCAAAGCTTTCGACATAGTTCCTCACAGTCAGCGATTATATATGTTAAGAAATATCGAGGTTCGAGGCAATTTATTATTGTGGATAAAATAAATGGCAACAATAAAACATTTAACATTTTTGTTTGCTTCGACCACTACAAAGCTGGCACTAGATCTATGAACTCTTAAATATCAAGCACCAAATTTACTATTTTAGACATTAGGCTCCAATTTAAAAGCTGCTTATTGGGTACTAAGAATATGATCTACAAACACACATAAGAAACATATCTACTTCATATGCAACGTACCCATTAAACGCTTGCGCTTCAAATGGTTCAAATGGTTCAAATGGTTGTGGACGGAATAGAAGCTTTCGCTTAACAGGCTTCCGTGTCTGGTAGCAGGGGATCACCAATACCTCCAGGCAGGAACCTAGGTATATAAACTATAATAGGTTAGAAAAAAAGAAATTGGTAACTCATAATAAGATGTTATCCTGAGTCCTTAAGAATAGGTAAAGTTTCCCCTTAAAGGACTATTGGGAAGTCGCTTGGACTAGTTCAGTCGGCAGGGCATTCCAGCATTTGACAAATCTTAAAGAGTAGAAGTTGTGTCTACAGTCCGTTCTGCTAAGTTGTATCTCCGATTTCTGGGTGTTACCCCTTAGGTTAGTATTGAGACTACGCTTAAGTAGGTGTTTAAGGGGATGTTCAGAAGTGTTGAGGATACTGTAAGCCATCAGAAGATTTCCTCTAAGACTACTATACTATAAAGGGTAAAGGTTAAGTGATTAGAGGCGCTCTTCATAAGGTTCCAAGTAATTATGACTCGGTGTGAAAACCTGTATGCCACGGGTAATTTGTTCGTTCTTGGCTTTCCTACTCGCCTGCCATGTCCTCTGAGATATCCCGATCTAGTGGGAAGAAAAAGAGAGAATATCTTAGGTCTAAAATCATTTCTCAGTATTCTGTACATTAAAATTAGATCTCCCCTTAGTCTGCGATAGGACAGAGCGAAGAGTTCCTGCATTTCAAGCCGATCTTTGTATGGTAAACCCCGGAGTTCTTGAATTGCACGGGTAGCTGCCCCCTTTTAGATGGTGGTTGGAGGTAGTCAACAGGAAACCCTGGACCCGGCTTTCGTGCTACTTGGCACTCGTCAGCAAGGTGTACCTGTAATCTTGAGGGAACTGGTGCTCCCTGGCAGATTCGATTTCGTGTCACCCGGCTTCACAGTCAGAGACGTTACCACTGAGCTATCCGAGCCGTGACTAACCTCCTGTAGGACTGAGATGTAATCACAATTGATTGATCACTGGGTGGTGATCAATGGCATGCTTGTCTAGTCCTTATTAGTCCAGATCGAATGCTATCGATCATGTTGCAATGTGGCCACCAGTCTAGGTGAATCGACACTGCGGGCACTATGTATTGAGATTTAGATGGTAGTTGGAGGTAGTCAACAGGAAACCCTGGACCCTGCCCTCTTAACCTCTTCTAAGATACCCTATTTATCTTTTAAGCAGGGGCTGGGATCCTGAACGCAGTTCTCAAGCTTAGTTCTTACTAAGTTTGTGTATACTGTAGTGAACATGGTAGTATTTATCTTGGTGAATGTCCTCCTTAAAGTCAGTAGAGTTCCAAACCATTGAGCTGCGACTTCCCGGCAATGGGCCGTGGTCTTATGGTCATAACTCACTGACACCCAAGATTCTTGTGAGACCAGACCACGTGTACAGGCACTTCCCCTACGTTTTATCTGTTAAACTTTGCATCACCAAAGGTTTTGTAGACACATTTTACCGCGTTGATAGGCGTCAGCCACTGTTTAGATCAGTTAATCTGTGGTGTTTGAATTAACTAATGATTCTTTGGTACTTGTTGAATGCTCGATTTCGAATTCCAAATACAATACATTCTTTTGTGCTTGTGTCTCACTTCTTAATTCATTTGCGTTAATTCTGGGATTCTTAGTTCGTGCTATAATTCAAATAATCCAAAACATTATATTGACGTCGCGATGGAGCCTGTAACGGAAAGGTTAGATATTCATTCAACTTCGGAAGCTTTTGAAGATTAATTTGAAAGGTTCGAAATCTGGGCTATGACCAAGGAAGATGATGAGGATGTTAATATTGTGGCACACTTCCTCACATTCATTGGAAAAGAAGCATACAGCTTATTAAGAATTCTGACTATGCCGGAAAAGCCTATCTCGCTTCCTTATACAACTCTCAAGGAACTGCTGCTAGACTATGTTAATTATACAAATTCCGAATGCGGTAAAGGAGGAAGATCTCGTAAAATGATTCATGAGGATATAAAAAACACCGCTACATTACTACATCATCCCAACCCAGTGCATACTCAAGGTTATGCAGACAATTCATTGAGTTTGGATGCAGTTCACGAGGATAGGGACAAGTTTGGTCAGTGTTTGTCTTGTGGCAAGTTCCACTCTTTTAATTCATGTAAATTTCGTAATTCTAAGTGCTTTAAATATGGTGATATTGGACAAGTTCAGTCAGTTTGTAATGCTAATGTTCATCTTGCTGCAACTAATGTTAAGTCTTGTAATTGTGATTCTACTGAGTCGAGTATTAATAATGATCATTCATCTTTATCAACTATTTCAAAAGACAGGGCAGAGTCATATGACAGTTCAGAGTTAAATGAAATTCAAAATGCTTGCGAGACAACAGTTCCTAATCAACCGATTTATCAGAATTCTCATGCTATTGTACCAGGTATGACTTTTCCTAGTGATCCACATATTTCTAATGAAATTACTTGCAATATTGAGGAAAATATGTTAAATGAACCTAATCATGATCGAAAACCTGATGTGGTTTGGATAGATGCTGATTTTTCTAACGATTCTACGCTCTGCAATGACAGTCCTAATGAATTTCATGAGAATATTTCAGAAGAATCAAATCCTGACGTCATATCATATATTACCTATCCTCATAATGCATTTGATCCTTGTGAAAAACCTGCTCAATGCGAAGCACGAGTACTAAGTGACCTCGAGTTTGATTACATTTCGGATGATTTCATATCAACTGCTGTTTACCCTTATCACAAAAACAGTTCTAATGTTTACTCTAAACAATGTGAGAAATATGTTTTAAATGAAGCCACATTATTCATAACTTGGGGATATAAAGATCCAACATTATTTCGTGGGGGAGGATAGTGTTGAAAAATCTATGGTTCGAATTCTAGATATTAATGATTTCAGTACAAAACCGACATGCTGGTTGTATACAATTCCAGGTGAGTCTGTTCCGATTTCGTTTGTTAATTCCAATACTAATGAGCACTTTCTAAATACTACAAAGTTTTTATCTTATACAATGTTGGACAGGCACAGGATGAACTTAACAAGAAGACGTACAACCGATTACAGACACTTATACACTTAATTAAGCTGTGGCGGATGTGGTGTTTGAATTAACTAATGATTCTTTGGTACTTGTTGAATGCTCGATTTCGAATTCCAAATACAATACATTCGCTTGTGCTTGTGTCTTACTTCTTAATTCAATTGCGTTAATTCTGGGATTCTTAGTTCGTGCTATAATTCAAATAATCCAAAACATTATATAATCACCATATTTAAGTCTATCTGAAGTGTGCATGTATCTGCCTCTCCCGTTATTTCTCGCTAGATTTTTAAATCATCGGCGTATAATAACATTGGCGACTGTACTATACTTCAGAGATCATTTACATACTGTATAAAAAGTAAAAGACCTAGTGCAGAACCTTGAGGTACTCCACCAAGTATTGGTCTCCAGGTGGGGCTCTTCAAATTTACTCTTACTTTCTGTTTACGACCTACTAGGAAATCCTTAAGTCATTTTAAAAAGGTCCGGCCATACGAAGATTTTCTAACTTAAATAGCAGTCTATTAGTTGGCACCCTGTCAAAAGCCTTACTGAAGTTTATGTAGACAACGTTCACTGAGTTTCCATTGTCTAGCGCCTTTGTCCGAAATTCCCTTGCTATAAGGAGCTTCGTTGTACAAGATAAACCCTTTCTAAAACCATATTGTTCTCTGTTTAACAAGTTATTGGTTTCCATAAATGTCATTATGATCCGTTTGATTATTTGTTCCAATATCTTAACTACAACATTGGTGAGGCTTAAGGGTTTGTAGTTTGATAGAAGTCGTCTTGGTCCTGTTTTATGTATGGAAGTGACGATTGTGTCCTTCCAGCCCATAGGTAACACACCTTGGTCAAGTGACATATCGAATATCACAATCAGTGGGGCCGCGATATATTGTGCAATCTGTCTCAAGATTTTGGGGTGTAGTTCATCTGGTCCTTTTGACTTTTCATATGTCTATGGTGCTAAGAGCCTTAAGTACATCGTCTTGATAGAAGTCCATGGTGAGCAGATGGTTTGCTGACTCCGTATTTTGGTCTGGCTCTTTGTCTAGAGGAGGTTGATGAGTGAAAACTTCCCCAAATGGTCAGCCACAGACTGCCTTTTCCTGATCGTCCCCCATCATTTCAGATTCACTCCCTTCTTTACTTATGTTAGGAATCCAACAATACATCCTTGTTCTGTAGTTTGTGTACGATAATATTCTCTTAGGCTGCTTGAGTGTAGATTGTGCCAACTGCATTTCATATTTCTTTTGAGCTTCCCGAATTTTAGTTATACACTCGTTTCTTACCAATCTGTAAAGTTCCATCGTATCTGCTGTGTCAAGGCAGATATCAACATTCCAACGTTTCTTCTTTTGTCTTCGTAAACGTCGAATATCCCGATCTATCAAGGGACGGCCGTGCTTCATCTTCTTTGGGACTGTCCAGGGTATGTATGGTTGAGTTACCCGATTGTATAACTGCCTGAAATGAGTCCATGCCTCTTGTACTGATGCCCTCGAGTCAATTTCTCAGTTTGATTGCCTCCATATCTGCCTTCCATATATGAGGATGGGCCAGCGCAACTGTTTAACTGGCAATTTCAACCATGAATTTGAATAATATGACTGCATGGTCACTTTTTCCTAGTGGTGGGAGGAAAATCATTTGATCAACGTCATCACCGTGTGTGAAGACTAAACCTAAAAGAGAAGAAGAGTTTCTTAAGTCATATCCTGTGGGATTTCTAAAGTCTTGGAATAAGGCTAATCCAATCGAGGTTTCTAACAGTTTGCGATTGAATGACGTTATCGATGACCCTACTTCTAAGTTAACCCAGTTTACATACGGTACATTAAAGTTGCTTACTACAAGGCTTTTACCCTTGTTACACCAGGACTTAATTTTACTTAGGAGGAAATCATCTACTACA